AGCCACGAGACTGGCGCGGCTCTATGTCACACCCATAGTGACATGTGCTCCCAAAGCTCACTGGGATTTGCATCATTATGTTCACAACTGTGGTGGCCGCAAAGCCTACACTCAGAGCTGCATTATCTCCTGCGCTAGCGCGCGTACAGTGCTTTGGCACAGGGTGCAATGGCATCCGAGCGTGTGGCACGCCCCCAGTTCGCACCAGAGGACACAACAGTCCTCGCGAGCGCGTCCGGAGTCCCGCGAGGGACGACACCGAGAAGGGCAACACCTTCTCCAGCACTAGAGGCGGCTCTCAGCTCACCTCGGGCCATGCCTTTGGAGCGTCTGGCACGCTCTCTTCGCGTCTTGGTCACCATACCAACGACGCGTAGGTGTCCTTCATCGACACCATGTACCGTACGGTACTAGCCTTTGGTGCGGTACGCCCACCACAAGGTTGCCATGTTTGGCAGCAACAGCTTCTGCTGTGCTGTCGCCTGAACGGATTCATGGCCAGTGCTCGCATTATGCACGACGCATGTGCAAGCACAGTGTAAAGGTCCATGGGCCCGTACACGAGGTACGCTGTGTACGATACAGTTTTGTATTTTCAAAGGAAGTGAGTTTTTTTGCCCGACTGGCTAACCGACTACCCCCAACATGCATAAAATGGATTTATCCGACGGTCTTGGCAACACTCGCTCGGAATTAATTTCTAATCCCAGACACAGCGCTTTGCTGAGTCGAGGACTTAGAGGTCGGGGTGGGACAGGCCGCGCAGCGCAGCAAGCGAAGAGAGGGGCGAGCCCACGGCTATAAGTCCGCAGACGAGTGCAAACACGCTAGTGTCCTAACTTTACTCCAATTTTACCGTATTATACTTTCTGTACACGTATAAAAGTCGATGCTATGTTACCTCAGTCGGGCAAAAAAACGAGTGCCATTTTCAAATTCGTGCCCCTGTGACAGAAAAGGGCCTGTATTTCCGGAAGAGGACATGTGGTACGGCGTACCAAGCTGGTAAGTATCCCTCGAAAATCTACCTAAGCTGGAGAATATGGTGGAGACTTCTTGCGCGACTGCCAATGACGATAGAGACGTTTTATCCGTCTACATGAGCGCAGCTAGCTTCAAAGATTACACTGTGGCTGTAACGGGGTACAATCCAGTGTGCCCCATGTTAGATAAAGAGCGACCCGTTACTCTTGTGGACACCTGGTACACAATACCTGGTGCACTCGGAGCGTCAGGGTCTGACTACTTAGCTCCACTAAAGGTAACCTCTAGTTTGTATGGAACCCAAGCTAACCTTACTTATAAATACATCAGTCGTACATCTACTCATCTAAGTAGTAAACCGTTCCCTTTGAGGCCGGGAACACGTGGACTAACGTTCACTCGGGTTATTAATACCCTTAAGCACTTCCTCTGTGCAAGCTGCTGTGTGACCCCGTCACACTTGGTAGAACTGGTAGTCAATCCAACACCATCGCGGGTAGATTGAACTACCTGAATCCTCTGTGCGCTCAACGTTTGAGCCAAGATGGACCTAAGCGAGTTTCCTCGCTTGACCGACTCACAGTACGAGTCTGTGCGGAAGATGGGAGGCATCTTTGGACAAGATGTCCTTCGTAGCTTGGCGGCGGCGACGCCTGTCGAGCAACAAGAACGCGTGACCGCGTTTGAGACCTACGAGCGTGGTCTCATCGCTCACGTCCGCGGGAGCTTGGAGGCCACGATGGCCGCTCCCCAGGCAACCAGGCCTAAGCCGGTATGGCTGAAGGTCCCCGCGTTTGAGGGGACGAAAGTAGAGAGCCTTCACTTCTGGACCCGTGAGGTGGAGATCGCCATGAAGGCGAGTCTCATCTCGGACGAGCCAGTTGAGGTGGCGTTTGCCCTGTCCAACCTTGGTGGACGTGCCAAGCACTGGGCATACACCAGGGAGACGACATCTCCTGGATGCTTTGCATCCTGGGCTCGGCTGTATGAGCAGCTTCGAGCCGCGTTCCTAACGGCGAACAATGAGTTCCGCCAGCGGTCACGCTTTCTCGCGTGTAAGCAAGGTAAACGTGAGCTGCAGGAGTACGCGCAAGAGATGCGCACGTTGGTGGCATCTCTGGCAGAGAATCTTCTGTCTGAAGACGTCAAGACAACAGTCTTCATGGACGACCTGAAGGCCGATCCTGCTCGCACCAGTGTACGGGTACAAGCGACAACTATGGATGAGGCGATTCGAATCGCTCTCCAAGAAGAGTACAGCCACAAGCAGGCTGGTACGCCTCGGGAAGAGGAGCATCGCCACGATGAGAATGGCGTTCCTCGGGAGGCGGAGCATCGCAGCAATGACGCTGTTGCTCCTGCTGTCACGCAGCCCGTTGATACCGGTACGTACAGCGAGCCCGAGCCCATGGACTTAAGCTCAGCCGAGAGCTTGGTCCGCTGCTACGGATGCGGCGGACATGGACACTACCAGCGTGTGTGTCCCTCGCCAGTCCTCGGAAAGAAGACAGCCCGTGGACCCCAGATCCGGTGGCGCAGGCCACGACCAGGTGGACGAAGACTCCCCGGCCACCAGTAGAGGCAGTGTGCCCTACTGAAGAGCGCTAAGCCTTCGTGATGGGTGTGCGGGCTGTGCGCACCGCAGGACTTAGCCCAGAGAGACATGGTTCTCTCAAACCGGTGAAGGGCAGTGATGGGCTGCTGGTAGTACACTCGGTGTACGGGGGTACGGTACCCCTTGAGCGTTTGATAAGTTCTGTGGCGTTGATACGCCGCCGGAACGTCGCTTGGCATAGCAACACCCGACTGCACTCTATGTCAGAGTGGCGGTCGTGGACTGGTCCTTGGTGGACTAGCCTTTGGTACGGTGAAGGAAGTACCAATGGTTCTCAGCGGACCTAAACGCTTGGGCTCGATGAGCTTGCACACCGCGGTGTCGCTCGCAGCTCTCGCCATGAACAACATGGATGTGCCGAACGTAAGGCACAGCCCGGACTTTGGTGTGGTAAGGCTGAGAAGGGCCTACCAGTCCAGTTCTATGGCGAAGCATTGGTGAGTCATGTTCACACCTCTGTCACGCCTTAGGCGTCTGATTCAGACCGCCAGGACGCAGAAGCGTCACGGAGATGTCAACGCGCTGACAGCGCTGCGTACAGCAAGACCATGATCCGCTGCGGCAATGCTACGGGCATGGGTCTTTTGCCCGGCGTGTTGACCTGCTACACCAACAGCATCCAACGCCGAAGGTCGTCGCGCCGTACGGGCTTCGACAGTGGTTATGCCTTTAAGCGCTCACCAGGTGGGTAGCTTAGGACCACACGGTCGCCCATACCTTTAATGAAAAGGAAGGCGCTGAATGCGCTTCCTGTGTAGCTAACACGGATCCACACACGGTCGCCCAGACCTTAACTGAAGAGGAAGACGCTGAATGCGCTTCCTGTGTGGCTAACACAGTACCACACGCAGTCACCCAGAATATAACTAAGGAGGAAGGCATGGCCATGCTTCCTGTGTGTACCACACGCAGTCGCCCAGACTATAACTGAAGAGTAAGGCCTTGACATGCTTTCTGTGTGGGTGACATAGTGCCACACGAGGTATTGAGTGCCTCTGATGTCGTCAACGAGACATCACGACGTGGGTAACGAAGTGCCACGTCACGTTAACCGCCGCAAGTCGGGTCTGAACCTTGTTCAGGCCGACGTCGCTTCAAGCGACTGGGAGTCCAGGGCCCGGACTCCTCTGACTCGGTCGGTGGACACCAACTCTGGCCGGTGTGTGTGCGAGTCTACCACGCCAGCTGATCCCAACACCGAAGGTCGTCGCGCCGTATGCGCGTTGGCAGTGGTGGTGCTGAAGGGTATTCACCAGATGGGTAACATAGATCCACATTGCGGGTAACAGGCTCCGCAAGCAGCGAAGCTGCTTAAGGAGACCGACATTCGGTGCTCCGAGCGTGGGTAACAGAGTTCCACGCAAGGTCACTCAGACCATAGCTGATAAGGAAGTCGCTGTATGCGCTTCCGGTGTGAGTAACAGAGTTCCACACCCAAGGCGGGTAACATAGTTTCGCACACAGAGCCATTGGCTCGAGGCGCTAGGCTGTCTTGACCTCGCCAGACGTGAGCAAATCGCTCGACGTCAAGTCGCGCAGACTCAAACTGCTGACGCGAGGGCTGGATGCCTGCGGTCAGTACGGCCGACGCGGTCGTCCATACCGACGCAGTGCACGGGGCGGAGAGCCGTCGCGCATAGTGGCGAAGAAAGCCGGTGCCTCGGAATCGCTGAGCGCATCAGCAGTGTTGGGGTTGCAAGCAACCACACATGAGGCGGAGCGCGGACCTAGTGCAATCAACGCACTGGTCCCTTGGTCATGAACGACCTGTCGAGTAGGGTGGAGGGAGCTTCTCACCCGCCGACAAAGCGGTTGCGGTACGTGATGTACACAACGTGCCGGGTATAATGGGCCGTGGAGCCATAACCCAAGTGTGGTGCACGAGTGCACACACAACTCACCAGGTGGTGGTTGAGGCAACGCACGCAGTCGTAAGTGGTGCCGCGCCGAGCATGACACCGTGGTGATGGCTGCTTGGTTTGGTACCCGTGAGTACTCGGTGTCAATGCCAGACATCAACGCCACAGCGGCATAGTGGTGAGATATGCCCCACCACGGTCGAGTACTATCAAGGTACATGGTGTCTGTGACAGACAGCGATATAGGTGCAAAGGATATGCACCATTCCACGACCCGATGCGCTCTGGGCGTATACGCTGTGAGTCAACGCACATACCGTGCATCGGCACTGGCTGCTGTCGAGCAACCTGCCAGGAGCTCCACGTAATGAACTCGTCGTGCGTGACACACATGAAGTGCACGGAGCACTTATGGTAGCTGTGGTACGTGTACTGTACCCCCTGCGGACAGCCTGGTGTAGTTTTTGAATTTGGGTAACGCAACCAAAAATGTCTCAAATTACTGGAATCATGTGAATTTGCAGAGGATCAAACAGTAATCTATGCGACTCTCGTGTGCACTGATCGCAGCATGTACGCTCGCTTTTGCGACGGCAGGCGCTCCATGTGACGAGAGGAAGCTGCAACGAGACGCCGTGATGCTGCTAGCGGCCCATGTGGACGAGGAACTCGGCGGCGTCGGAGCGGGCAAACGCGACGTCGTTGGCTTCCAGTATCTGGTAATGAATACAAGTATCTATTCTCAACAGCACAAGTAAAATCTAAACGCAAAATTGCGTTAAATGACCCAGAAACCTGCCGAAGCTCTCTTGGCAGCACAAGCCTTGGCTCACGAGGATTTTAACCAGGCAGCTGAGCAGGTCCTGCGTATCCTCAAGTACCAGAAGCCCAACGGGTTACTGCCGCACTTGATCTATGGTCCGTCCGTTCCATCTCATCAGCGATGGATCCCCAGCAATCGCACCTTCCACCCAGGTCCGGCATTTTGGCAGCAACTGCAGACGCAGGCGGAGGAGCATACGACATCGCTGCTCAATACCTCGACGATCTCAGCTCCCCCGGTAGCTGCTGACGTGGCTTGGGAAATTTTCCGATTGGCTCCGTACGAATCGGCGCTGGGGGTGAGGATTACAGCAGTGCAGTTTCTGTGTCACGTCTACGATCCGCTGAAGAAACTGCAGGAGCATTTATTCTCGACACGCCGCGGTCCTTCTCCCAAGAGTTTGCTCACTGCGCGTGTAAGGGTTGACTGTGAGGTTACCACTGATGCAAGTGCCTGAACCTAATTGTCGTTTGTGATTTATGCTGATGCAACAGCACCCTTGGGAGACGTTTTCGTCACTCTCACCGCACTGGAAAGCCTTTCTCGCCGACCTGAAGAATGCACCAGACTATGACAGAGTCGTTAGCTCTATTCCCGAGGAAGCTCGAACTCGTTTTGCAGCAGGTGCAAGTACCCTAATTTCAGCAGAAGAGGCCGTGAAGAGTGTGTATGAGCCAATGGTTTACCTCGCAGCACAAATTCGTGGTCGCAGTGGCATTTACAGCCGCAACGGAGCCATGTTAGAGTCGATCGTAAATACTGCAGGCAGTGTTGAGGCAGACCGATTTGGAGTCGAGGACGTGGAATTCAATGCCCTGATGCTGCGGTCATCACTGAGCCTAATAAACATCGGCCGTGTGCTTGTGGAACACTCGTCCGTTTGCACGGAGTTTACTCTAACTCAAAAAGAACTCCAGAAGGATATGAAGGAGCTGCATTCTATGGCCAGAGGGCTGAAGGGTGCGCTTGTTGGCGATAATAGCACTCGAGGGCTGTGGAACAAATCCTTTGATTACTTCGCGGACTCGAGTAGGCTATCGTCAACTTCGGTTCACTCCTTGCGCGGGTTTCTACCTGGATACGCTACAGAGCTGGATGAGGACAAAAAGATGCTTTCGATGAAGCATTTCCTGTCCGAGCCCGGCTCATTCTCTTTCTTTTGCACCCAGTTCCCAGCTTCCTTTTTCCCGTGCTCGGGGGATGACTCGGCTAAAGTTGCTGAAGACCGCCCCTCTGTCACGACGTGGATTCTCTACAACTACTATCTCCAACGAGGTTTTGCCAGGGTTTGTTATTTATATTGTGCAGCATTGCTTTATTCGTTGCCACGATATAAACCCTCATACTAACAGAAATGTGGCTTATCAGAACAAATTTCCAGGACTAGCTGATTATATACGTAACAAGACAAGGGATATGATATGTGAGGCAACTGCACCTGCTCAGCGATGGTCTCCTTTTTCACTGTCGGTGGACATGCCTGTACCTTCGGCTCTCACGCTAGCCTACGACTCTCGAAGTGCTAAACCGGTCCAAGTGTTTGATGATAGCTACTTGGGATCGACGCTGGCTGCCGCCGCTCTTCTAAACATCCTGTTGCCAGCAAGTATGCTTGCTCTACTAGGCCGTGAGCGATTTTGATAGCTAACTCGGTCTCTGTGCTTGATCTTTCATTAGTGACACCGCCACCAAGCCCAGACACGCCACCCATTGATCATCGTCTTCTCTCTATTATTATGTGCGTCGAGTTGGTAGTTGCGTTCGGAGTTGCCATGAGCTGTTTCCTGTTTTCGGTTTATTTTGTGGCGAACCGACCTCGAGACACACGGTTGTCTTCGACATCAGCGGCTCGACGAAGATCATCTGTCGGAAAGAAATCCCGAGACAAGTCAGATCGCCGCAAAGAAGACCTGGACGAACGCGGCCGATCAAGCGCCAGCGGCTCATCGTGGGCAGACAGATATTCCGAATCGTCTTACAGTGATTACTCCCCGCGTTCTGGGCACACACCATACGAGCTAGAGGAGTCGTTGATTTCTGAAGAGGACGAGCATTACGGATCCTTTGATGAAGCAGAACAGCCCGAGACTCCTTCAAATTCGGCGTGGAAAGCCGCGAGAAAGGTGCTAGCTGACATCAGCCCCTGGTAATTTGTCGACAGACAAGCAGTTATTGGCAGTGTGAAATCACTTCGGTAATGAATATGTTCGTAACAGAAAGTGATCCAGCATGTCATTTTTCCATGTTGCCTCGAGTTGTGGGGTTGCTTTGGCAACAACGATTGTTCAGGATATCTATATTGATTGCCCGACGACGACATTGCATTTCACTTTGCGATACAGCATTGGATAGGGACTACAGTAGTACTCGAAGGTTCACCTTAAACGAAGTGTTAATAGTACGCCTGACACCGTGTGAACTTGAATTAAAATCATCCGGATGTTACGCGAGTGTGAATGTTGGTGTGCGCCACATTCATGGGAGGAGCATTTTCATTTTTTCAATCGATTTTCGTCGGTAACGTGATGGTCGATTATAAGGGGCAGGCGCATGCGGAGATTTTGCTGGTGGTGTGCTTCGTGGTCATCTGTACGCCTGCATGGGTATACGGTTATGTCCAACAGGACTTCTCGTACCCACTCCAAGCCTGGGCTGCTGCTACGGTTCTTAGTGCACTGGTATGGATGTTTAAGCTTTGGACACGTGGCATTTGAACTGACTCATATCTTGTTGTTATTGTCGTCGTCGTTTCTGCAGTTGATTCTGCCCAACTGGCCAATCTACAATCGCAACCCGATCAAGTGGCTGCCCAGCGCCATGTACGTGAAGAAGAAAAGCATTTAAACAGTACGATACTCGATACTGTAGTCGCATGCAAGTACATCTGGCACCAAGCAGATACGCTACAATCAACAATAACGACGAAGGAAGAAGCTAAAACAAAATTCATTACTGACAATGTTGGTGTCTGAGCGACAGTCACTCGTCCGGGTCTGTAGAGGCTCATTTATTCGTTGTCGTCGCCGTCTCCTCTTTCCTCCTTAACAATAATAACTTTTTACATACGTGTACAGTAGTGGGTAAGCTTACCCAACGACTACTCCACCTTCAGAGACCATCATATAGAACGGCATGAGGGGTTCTTCCTGATGATCACGTCAACGAGTCAGTCGAGACGAACACTGAGCACTATAAGTTTACATGTAGGTTATACCGAACAGGCACGGAGAGGCGACGTTGATAATACAACTGCTGATTCTGAGGTAGCAGCGGCAACGGCAGCTACATACTACGTATGAAACTGGAAACGAAGCAAGTAGCCTTCCTATAAGGATTTACTGAACCAGAACGGCACGTGAAAAATGCTTCAGACTTGAGCTGCCCAAGTTGAGCACACTGAAATGCTGTGCTTACTGTTACTGAAATTCTCAAGAGCACGGGTGTCAGGCGCAGGTGCGCAACATCGCTGTTGCCAAGGCAGGTGGAAAAACGTCGATACATGTATTATAATACTTTGCGTCTATCGCTAAATCTTTCAAGAGCGACAGCTCACAGCAATCTTCGTAACGAAGTTCGTTGGTCAAGCTCGATCAACTAATTTAAACCGTCTCTTGTGCGAGGTGACGGCGCTGCCTCCTCATATTTTGGCGAAGACAACGTCGGTCAAGACACTTCAGCACTCAAGATTCACAAGCGTTTTGCGCGGTCGTTTTGCCGACTACGTAGTGGACGTGATGGAAAGAGTCGCAAAGACTGACAGGAAGAGCAGAGAGGCGAATCTGAAGCCAAGTTCAAGGCCTCTTTTTTTGCAACGCGACCCATACTGAAACGTAGTCAAACTGCAATCCCACAAACGATTTCTGAGAACGAAAGCTTGCAGTCGTGAATTTCCTGTCGAAGCACTGCTTTAAACGCTTCACTCTTCAAGCAGCACCGTCGACCAGATCGCGACTGTAAGAGAAGAGGAAAGCTGCCTTTTAACCTGATAAGACAGACCAGAGTCTAGACGCACACCGACAGCCATGGGCGCGGCCAACAGCGTGCGCAAGCTCACGATCGACAGCATTGCGCTGCTGGAACAGCTCGAGCCCAACAAAGCCGAGCTGGCAGCCAAGCGTGCGGTGCGGCGCCGCGTGCAACAGTTGCTCCAACAAAAGTGGCCTACTTGTCGTGTGTTGCCATTCGGGTCGTCCGAGAGGTGCGTCGGGCGTTGAAGCAACAGAAGAAGATATGAAAACTCACATGAAGGAGTGATGGTAATTATTTTTTTAACATTTGCAGTGGTCTGGGCTTTGGAGGGTGCGACGTCGACCTCGGTATCTACTTCGAGGACGTAGATGTGGACGCCCAGGGTCAGTTCTCGCCTCAGGAGCGCGTGAATTTGCTCGCCACAGCGTGCGAGCGCCTCTCCGGAGCATTCCAAGTGCTGGAATTCGTCCGCAGTGCGCGCGTGCCTGTGATCAAGCTCTGGGACACGAAGCGACAGGTAACGGAGATAACCAGCTTAAAAATTGCTTTTTTGTGAATTTCTGAAAGATATATTGTTTATTATGCTGTAGGTGGCTTGTGACGTGTGTGTTGGAGGCATCAATGCGCTGCTCAACACAGCGCTGCTTAAATACTACGGCCAGGTGGATCCTCGAGTGCGTCCGTTGGTGTTTGCTGTCAAATATTGGGCCAAACAACGCGGTATTAACGACTCTGCTAATGGAACACTGAGCTCCTACGGTACGCAGCAGCGATCTTTTCGGCCCAACTGCTTCACTTACCGGGGATTAACGTGTGAAATACGGTAGGATATACATTGTTGCTGATCTTCTACTTGCAGTCACATTACGCGGAGATGCAGCTACCAGAGGTGCTCTCACTTTTCCAGGATCTTCAGTCCCAGACGAAGGTCTCCGTGCTGCTTGAACGTATGCAGGCATTCCCAACGATAGAGCTGCCGTCCACATTTGGCACGTCGGAAATGAACTCGGTCGGTGCATTACTTGCAGGATTTTTCGACTTTTACGCCCGTCGCTTTAATATGGAAGACGACGTCGTGAGTATCCGCACAGGAAGGGCGTTATCGAAGACAACTAAGTGGAGTCACCCCGTGTCCTGGCGACTGAGTATTGAGGATCCGTTTGAGCTGGCGCACGATGTTGGGCGTGTGATTTTCCACCGAAAATGTCAGGAGCTAATTCGCTCGGAGTTTAAACGTGCAAGCGAGTTACTTAGTGAAGATCATCGTCTCGAGGAGATCTGTGTACCTGACGATACATCGTGGAACATCATGTCGACGTGCTACATTTGCCGTGGTAGGGACCACGCCACTCGCGACTGTGGCCAACTAGTGCATCAGCGATCGACGTCTGGTGGCTGTAGCAATGCCACGCTACATTTCTCGGACTGCTGGTATTGTGGCGAGTATGGTCACTACAAAGCGGAGTGTCCGATGCTCTTCTTCCGAGATATCCCTCGTCCGGTCGAAATGGCTAAAGCTGACGATATCTTGGCAGCAGAAGCGACGTCTGAGTCAGATCCAGGCCCGCTCGTGGGATTTGCATCGGCTTCATCGCCCATCGCGATCCCATTTTCTCCGACTATGAAGATGATATCGCCACGCGTCTGCCAGCTACGTCCCTGGGAACAAGGACTCAGTCCGCACAGCTCGCCGATGCTACGCTTGTCCAGGAAGAAGAAGCGTGCGCGTCATGGCTCCTTGTCGACATCATCTTCCTCTTCGCCAGTACCATCATTGAACTCACCGTCTGGAGGCCAGTCGCAGTCGTGGAAGCGGCAACAACAGCATCGCTATCAACAGCAGCGACATGAGCAGCGTCGTCGCAATTTTGCGCTACTGGAACCGACGCGGAAGTGCGGTGGCAACGCTCGTAGTGGGAGACCGTACGTCGGTAAGGTACTGTGTCCGTCCTAGCGAGACGATCGCTTTCCAAGTTTTGTCTATTAGCTCGTAGTGTGGGCATAGTTTAGCTATTGATACCAAGGACACCAAATCTGCCTAAGCAAGATGGTCTTAACGTCTTGTCGAAATATGTAAATTGAATGAACTTTTATGCAAGCAATTATTTCAGTCAGAGCTAGATGGGAGGACCATCATTCTCAGGTCACTTCAACCTAGCATGTGGCGCGAACACAAGATTTCTCACTAAATTACTCGAGTCACATGCTCATGTATACGGTATACCTTTTTGATAACTTTTAAATCAACGTTGCCAATAAACTGGAAACCACCAAAAATAGGAATTACAGAATTTACAATAAAAAAGTTGCGTTGCCAATCGACTGGACGCAGTTTAAACGCCACACCTGCATTGCCATCATGTCTGTCCGGAGGAACGTGCGTCTACGCCGCGAGTACCTGTACCGCAAGGGACTTGAGGGAAAGGAGCGTGCGCTGTATGAGCACAAGCAACAGCTGAAGGAGGCCATCCGCAGTGGCAAGGCCATCCCGACTGAGCTGCGCAGCGTCGAGTCCAAGCTGCGTCAAGAGATGGAGTATGATGACGAGGCCCACGAGAAGCCGCTCAACCACATCGATGATGAATACAAAAATGCAGGGATGTTCGACCCCAAAATCGCCATCACCACGTCACGTGACCCAAGCTCGAGACTCAAGCAGTTCGCACAGGAAATCCGCCTCATCTTCCCCAACGCCATTCGCCTTAACCGCGGTGCCCACACTGTTGGAGACGTAAGCAGACTTTTTGAAACCTTGGACTCTTTTATAGAGAGGTTAACTCACCGGTTTTATTTCTTACTGCTACTGCAGTTGGTGGAGAGTGCGAGATCCAACGACTTTACAGATCTGCTGTTGGTCACGGAGACGCGTGGTGAACCAGGTACGACAATGGAGACGAGAAGTTGATGCTACTGCTGTGTACTTACAGTGCTTTATTGCGTAAATAGATGGTCTGGTGGTGTGTCACTTGCCGTACGGACCCACGGCCTATTTCTCACTGAGTAACACAGTGCTGCGTCACGATATTGAAGACCGTGCCACTATCTCCGAGGCGTATCCACACCTCATTATCAACCAGTTCGAGACGCCGCTAGGAAAGCGTGTTGCCAACATTTTAAAGCACTTGTTCCCAGTGCCCAAGCCAGACGCCAAGCGCGTTATTACGTTGTCCAACGACAACGACTTCGTGTCGTTCCGTCACCACGGCTTCAAGGTGACAGGACGGGAGGTGGAGTTGCAGGAGTGTGGCCCTCGCTTCGAGTTGCAGTTGTACCAGGTGAAGCTTGGCACGCTCGACCAGAAGGAGGCTGAGAACGAGTGGGTCTTGCGGCCGTACATGAACTCTGCTAAGAAGCGTCGTGTGCTGTAGATTCATTACAGTACCATGCTCCGTTGGCTGAAATAGATGCTTTTTTGTTTTTACTCCGCGTCATTGTGTTTAATTGATCCTGATGGCTCTTCACAAGACGTTGCTGGGTTGAGAATCTTTTTCAAGTCGCTCTCTTCGGCAATATCCACGGCTGAAAGACGTAGCCCATGAAAGTATCCCTTATCACAAAGCACGGTTATTTTTCACCTCTTCCAGTTGCCACGCTCCTTTGGCTGAAGTAGATACTACGTTTTTGTTTTTACTCAACGTCTTGACTGTCAAGTCGACAAGACATGTTTTTTCTACTTCGCTTACAGCGACACGTTGATTTCAGCCTGCAAGAAAGAATCTCCAGGGATACGAGCAAGGATCTTACTGAGCGGATCCACAGGCGGCGCATACATTTCGAAGGTGGCAGGCGCCGTCGTGATCTTGCTCAAGTCCAGATGGAAAAAGGTCCAACAGCCCACTTCGACCTCCTGCGTCACAAGACTCCGATGCCTCAGCTCCATCACGGCAACACAACCTACGACACAAGTACAGTACTTGTCATTAGTATACGCCATCAAAACAGGTAGCAAAGATCATTTAGTTCGTACCGTCCTTGAGATGCTCGAGGGGTGTCTGCAGGTACCACGTGTTGCCGAACCACCAGTAGTTGCCTCCGGTCTGGATAAGCGACTTCGGTGTGCGTTGAGCCGTGTCAACGACCGCACCCTTATAATCCATGATGTAGAGGTTGAAGTGCGGCGTCTCCATAATAGGACCAGTGGCCACTGCAATAGCACCCAGGAACACCGACACATACGTGCTGTCGTGTAGCCTGTCCGGTGGTGGCAGTAGTGACGGAGTGACGGGAGTCAGCTTCTTGACAGGAACAATTCCGTCAGCTTGGGGCTCTTCTGACTCCACCGGAGTCTCCTCCATCTTCAGGGCGTGCGTAACTGGGTTAAGAATCTCCTTCAGGTCGTCCTCCTCGGCAATATCCACGGCCGAAAGACCTTTCAAGTTCTTGATACTCGAGTCTGCGCCACGCTTCATGAGAGTTTCAACCAAGTCGAAGCGCTCCAGCTCCACGGCATAGTGTAGAGCAGTGTCTCCATTCACATCGATCGCATTCGGGTCCGCGCCATTCTCAATAAGCCAGACACACACCTTGGCAGCCTCAAATCCTTCATCTTCGTCGTTCTGTACTGCCAAATGTAACGGGGTAAAGCCCAGCTTGTTCTTCATGTTGACGTAGTCGCGACGCAGTCCACTGTCGATGCAGATCATGTTGTGGTTGGGAGGACTCGTTGTGGTTGCACGCACGCCCTGTACCTTGCGAATAGCAAGCATCCATTCGTGCACCTCTTGTTCTGTGTCGGCTACAAACGAGAGCATGCCGTCAGGATTTTTGGAGCTCTTAAGTCGTGGTGAGCGGATCTCAAAGCAGCAGTCCACGTCGGAGTTGCGCTTGATCGTAGCATCACACAGCTCGACGATCTTGAGCGGAATCTTGTCCTTCTCAGTCTTGTAGTAGGACAAACAAACCTCGTCTACTATCACATAACGCTTCGTGGCCCAGCGAGTACCACTAGCCTTGCGTAGAAATCCCTCCTTGTACACTTCGATCTGCAGTGTCGTGGGGAGCACTGGTGGAAGTCCGCCGATAGACGATGACAAACGTCGGTTGTTCCCTATCTTGGAAGACACGAGAGTGCGTCGACCATTACGCTTTGGTGCGTTGTGATCGCCAGGTTTGAAGGCTGGTTGCATCGAAAACGAAGACGTCGAGGCGGTGGACATACCACGCATACGAGGGTCAAAGCCTCCTACAGGACTGCGAATAGACACGCTCTTTGATGGCGAACGGGACGATGGCGTCGTCATGGACGCCGTGCTAACACTGGAAACAGATCGAAGCTTCATGTCGGGCGAGTCATCGCTGCCACTACTGGCACTGCTAGCGCTTCTTGTACGCGCAGCTCCAAAGTCAAAATGCGCGCTAGGATTCGAGTTGCGGTTCGCAACCTTCGCGAGTAGCCGTACCATATCCAAATGAGCTAGTCGACTAGCGTAGTGCAGTGGTGTACTGCCTGCAGTATCCTTTCCATACACGAGATCCTCAAGTTGAGGGTTTTCCTCTAGAACAAATCGCGCCAAATTGAGGTCACCATTCTTCGACGCGACGTGGATTAACGACATCATCTCGTGGTCACGGTCACGCACACGTAGCATTCCTGGCATCTCCTGTGCAATGTGAAGCACCTCGGTCAAGTCGTAGGCATTAGCTGCATCAAACAAAGCCTGGGTGCGATTCCTTATGCGTACACGAGACAGGAAGATCCGTACCACAGCGAGAACTCGAGCCATCGACCGACGTCGCACATCTGCGAGCTTGGAGGATCTCTTCTGACGGAAGACACTTTGTACCGTGACGATCCGCTGAACCGTTTGGCGATATTTCTTTTGCTGCACGTAGCCGCGATAAAGTGCTTGAGTTTTCACCACTCCATGACGGAAGCGAATGAATTGCCGACGACCTAGATACGTGCGTACAGCGCTCTGCACCACACGCGCCGCTGATCGCATTTTCAAGTAGCGAGTACGTTCAAGTGTCATACGCGAGAAAGCTTGAATAGTGATGATCTTGTCCCTCGTCTCGCGGTATTTCTTGGCTTGTGCATGGCAGCGCCAGAGCGATTGCAGCAGTGTAATCTGTCGGTCCCGCTTGGTGTATTCTCTGCGAAGCCTGTGCATCCGCCACAAAGACTGGACAAGGATGATCTTCTTACGTTCATTGAGATAACGTTGACGATAGATCACCATGCGACCAAAGGCTTCAATGCGTGTAGCCATCTTCTTCTCGCGCAAAAACTTACGACGCACCAGCGAGCGACGAATCATAGCTTGAGAGTTGATTGTAGCCTCTCGACCCTTGAGATACTCGGTACGAACGCGGTTCGCTCGCACACGGGCTTGGATCATAATGATACGTCGACGAGAGGTCTGGAAGTGACGTCGCGCCAAGAAGCCACGAGCAATTCGCGCGATTTGGATCTGCGCTTTGTTGCGTGCAACAGCGCGCATACGAGCCTTCTTGCCGTATTTAAGACGGGCATTGAAGCCGCGACCTGCAGCGTGCAACACGATAGCTGCCTTCCACATCTCGCGATATTTGTTACGCGCAGCATAGCCCTTGTATCGAGAAGCGATCACATTCGCTGCATTGCGCATCTCCAAAAACTCAGCCCGTTGTCTGTGCATCTTGCGTGCATTTGCAACTTTAGCCGCAGCGTGTTTCTGCTTGAGGAAGCGCTTACGAGCCAAGTATCGTCGCACTTGAGCTTGGATCTTTGTTGCAGCAGGAGGGGCTGTTCGGAGATATAGCGCATACTTGCGAGCAGCATTACCGCGAGCGTGACTCTGCACGAGGATAGTGGCCTTGCGCAGGCGTTGATACTTCCTTCGCTGGATAAACTGCCTTGCTACAGCGTTGAGGAGTGTAATGCGGTGACGCATACGCTGGTAGTGACGCTTGGCCAGGTACATGCGCGTCATTGCTTGGATCCGGATGGCCTTCTCGCGCATATCCATGTACTTTCGACGTTGCTGTCGACCGCGTACATGCTTCTGGATAACGATAGCAGCGTCGTGCATGATCTTACGTGCTTCGTTGTCCAGAATACGCAGCTGGCTGTCTCGAAGGAACACCTTCTTGTGTCCGAGCTGCCAGTTTTCACGAGGAATGAAGCGGAGAATAACCTCGCAGTAATCTTTGTCCGTCATAGTTCCTCGCTTCTCCTTAGCGACATTGCGAGTCAGGATCTGATACTTCTCGCGGAATTCTTCAAAGAGCCGTCGAACTGGGAAACCGGAACGTCGGATACGCACAGTCTCCATGACACCGAGGTAGATGAGCTGGTTTAGAATCAGTTCGGCGTTCCAGCCCTGTGGGAAGCGCAGGTTGTTCGGCTTGACACAACGCACGAAGGAAGGCATCGTGGCCTTGAGTTCCACCATCAAGTTGGCCATCTGATCACGAAATTTTCGGCCCACAGTCATCGTTCCAGTCATCTTGTTGCCCATTTTCCGAACAGGTTTCCGTGGGTTGGCGCCGCCCGATGCCGCACCAGCTTGAGCTAATGGATACAACTTTCGCAGGTATTCGCATTTGGAACTGTCCATCAGAGAGATCAAATCGTTGTGTAGAGAGTCATCGTTCTTTTCCAAGAAGCCATTGACATTGTACGTCACCTCTCCAGCGTAATGGTGAACCACAAACTCGTCCGTAGCGAATCGCGGCTTCGAGTAGTAGATAGTAGTGCCCTCCGGAACTTTTCCCTTTGGCAAATGCGTTTGATGCAGCTTCTGGATAAAGTTTTCGTCGCTAGCACGTCGTCCAAGCATTCCTTGTTCATCCAAGAGAGGGAGAATACCCAGCGGCTTCTTATCAATCAGATCGAGACATGGTCCATTGTCCTTGAACTCCAGACGAGAGAAATCGATGCCTTCTTCAACGTACACTTCTTGTTCATACACGAACACGTGCTGGTTGAATTGTTGCTGCAACATTTCGTTCGTGTAGTTGATACACAGCTGCTCAAACGAGTTCACTTGCAGACTTTCAAAGCCAAAGATATCCAAAATACCGATAAACTTGGAGCCAGCGCCAACTCCAGCGCTACTGCCAACGTTAGACGTTGACTTGTTGATTTGAGACACCAGCCAGTCGAAAATCTTGCTGAAAATGTCCTTCGCCAGACCATTACGCGACTTGACAGACTCCACAGCAGTCAGCGCAATTTCAGCCACTGAGCCACGTGCGCCAGCCGACATCGTTCGCTTCGTAAGCGCGAACTCCAGTTCAGCCGGTGTCACCATCATCAAGTCTGCCAGGTTCGTCACGTCCTCTGGGTGGGCGATCTGGGACTCGTTCTTGGCGTTCTCCGTGAACTCGACGTTACCTAAATGCAGTACGCAGGCCACGAGACGGAAGATGGTCCGCTGTAACTCTGGAGGGATACCCACAGTACCCATGGCTTCAGCAAGCTCCTTGAAGTCCTTTTTGTCGTTAATTTCTGGCACTTGAATGCAATTTCCTTGATTGAGGAAGTAGAACTCGCTTGCAGGCTTCAGCTTCAACGCCGTCTTCTCTTCAGCAGATAATCCAGCACACAATTGGTAGAAAATGTGGTAATTACGCTCGGATTCGGCGCTACCGACGATGCGGCTCTTCTCCAGCAAGAAATGGCTCGTTGTAGCACCAGAGATGGTGCCGTCTGTATGGTAATAGATCTTGATGAACTTGCCAAAGCGACTGCTGTTGTCGTTGCGGATGGTCTTAGCGTTACCGAACGCTTCAAGTAGAGGATTACTCTGGAGTACACATTGTTCCACCGAAGACCCGCCGTTCTCCGCTTTTGGAGCCTTTGGAGCCTTCTTGCCGATCTCCGAGATGTTGGCCAGATACTAACAGCATCAATTAATTAGTTACATATACCAAATAGCTGCTCAGTGTAGTGGTAGTGAACGTACCCGCATAATGTACTTGGAGGCTTCTGTTTTGCCGGCTCCACTCTCTCCAGACACAAGAATGGATTGGCATTTCCCGTCCTTCATCATGGCGTGGTACGCTCCGTGAGCTGTGGAGTAGACATGAGGCACGGGGTTATCTAGTTTGCCAATAGAGTCGAGTTCTGGGAAGTTATAGAGCATGGGGATGTTCTTGTACGGGTTGATAGAGATGAGGATATCACCAGTGTACGTGTAGATCTTGTCCTCGAGATAGCGACGTCGTAGAAGATCCAGAAGTGGAGCCTCGTGTAGATTGTCCATTTCCGCCACATTGTTCAGGTTCACTGAGTGTGATGGATCGTAAGGATGTACCTGCTCGAAGGTGAATTGTTGCTCCGAGTCGGCGTCGGGCAGCAGAACGTGCAGCTTCTCACCGTCGTCCTCCACTACGGTGCCCAGCTGCCACACATTGCGAGGGTCTGGACACCAGACCTTTTCTCCCTCACGGCGCGCCGGCCGCTTCTCCGCCATCGCTGCCAGCGGGTCCAGAAGCTAAGGATGGAAGTGGGGGGCGGAACCTTTATGCTCCTGATTTGGTGAGATACGATTTGACCGGAAATAAGTGGTGCTTCAAAGAGAGCGAAAATCCAGCTTCGTCCCAAATTAACAGATTACGCGTGGGTAAATTGAGCAGAGACGCAACGCATTTTATGAGTTGACGTCGATGCAGAGATCGCCGTAAGGCAATAGCGTTGCAATAACTGTCTAATGTGTGCGACGAATGTCCACATCGATCTAGTGAAGATCATTTTTTTTTGTCAAAGAAGTATTTTTTTGAGTGAGTGCAATGATAAGCGGAAGTAAGCTCTTAATAGCACTGTCACCACACCACGTCAGTCGATACGTCATCACTTAGCTCCAAATTGTTTTACTTTGGTCAGAAGCAATGTCTACCAATAATTACTGTAGAGCGGTTAATACTGAAGCATTGGTGTGTCTGGAACAAAGCTCTTAATTCTTCGTCACTTCACTGTCAAGTGGGTTCACTTTTCGAAATGATATGCTTCTCTTTTTCATCCAATCAGACGACGTTTGGGGTACGTGGTGCATCACCGCCAGTCGCGCATCAAAGTGTCGACAATCATGCAGGACGCGGCGCATTGGCAGACGAGCGAGTTGGCTTGTGCCATCAAATACCGACTGCTAGCGGGCGAGGCAGCGGACGGATACATTGATGGATTGGTGGCGCGCGTAGGTGTGCCCAGCGAGTACGTGGCGCCGCTCGTGGACCGCGCATTCGCGTTTCACCCCGCAATGTACACGGTCGTATCAGAAGAAGACGACACGGAGCTCCCAGATCTAATCGTACGAAGACCCGTTAGCTGACAAAAAGACGTGTGTTGGCAGTTTGTAGGCTCTAATGCTTGTTTTGCTGTTGTGGTTGCAGTGGGACGAGTATGAAAATCTGGACTGGAAGAATATCCTTGCTGGAAAAGTGGTAGCCAACGCATATTGCGTGCGCAAGGGGCTCTCGCGTAAGGCGCAGCTGTCGATCTACTTGTCCAAGTACATTATGAAGCATCCAGACTGCTTGCTGAGCAAGGCTCTGCCGCGTACCATTGTGGTGGACACATGGGAAGCCTACGACGAAAGCATGGCTCAATTCGGCATCCCCTTCCGTCAGCGCTTGGACTCGTGTTTGTGGGAAGTGAAGCAGACGCTTGACAACGAGAGCAACACGTGGATCATGAAGCCCAGTGCTACCAACAAGGGCGCCGAGGTCAACGTTGTCAAAGACTTTAAGAAGCTCCGCAGTATTGTCAACGAGTGGACAGACATCCGCGAGTGGGTTGTCCAGGAGTACATTCAGCGGCCGTTGCTGCTACGAGGTCGCAAATTCCACATCCGTGTGTATGTCCTCGCAGTGGGTGGTCTCAAAGTGTACGTGTACCAGCATTGCCTCGTACTGTGCGCTCTGGAGCAGTACCGCGAGGCCGACACGGACAATAATTACTCGCACATCACAAACACGTTCCAGCAACAAAGTCACCCTGACTTCGTTGAGAGTGAGTGCGTGTTGTTACTGGACGATATCGAAGATATACTGGCGGAACAAGGCATCGCAGATGCTGCCGGTAGAAAGGCAAAGATCCTTACGGACATTGGCCAAATCACAGCGGAGACGTTCGACGCTTACAAGGGCGAGTTCTCGGTTTTCCAGCCACTACCAAACTGCTTCGAGATTTACGGGGTGGACTTCATGGTCGACGAGGACTTCAACGTGTGGCTCTTGGAGTTCAACCCTGGTCCGGATTTCAAGCAAACGGGAGATCGTCTACACTTTGTTATTCGCGATCTGATGGCAGACACACTGAGTGTTGTTACGAACGAGTTCTTCTCCGAGGACAAGGATTCGTCGGTCAAAGACGCTGAGCTTGGGGCGTTTGCCAAGGTGTATGACCAGCAATGGGGCGCTCTTTCCAAGGGCTCATCCATGAAATTTGTTGAGTAGACACGTGATCAGCATACCATTCAATAGAGATCGCTTGTACTTCAACAGACCCCATTCTATTGTTCTCAAAAGTATTTGTTGGTCGTGGCAGACGACAGAAATCCCATACCTTTCGCAGCGGAAGAAAGCAGATTCGTGCCTGAAGTCGCTGCAGAGAAGAGATTGGAGCTTGTCGATGATGACAGCAAGTTCTGCAGCTTCGTGGCTGACGACTGGGACGAATCGTCTGTGCGCTCATGGAAGAGAGAGGAGCTGTTTGCTCTGCTTCGTCCTTCTCCCATATCGTTCTCACTAGAACGAGACGTCGATGACACGGTACGCTGGAACTTGCGACGACTCGAAGGAACAGGAAGCAGCGAGAATCTGGCAACTGGATCTGCAATCCGTGCTAATGGCCTCGTATCTTGAGCGCCAATCACAATTTCTTTTCCATCTGAAGGACACAATAAATTTATACATTAGGAATCTGACGTCAAGCACAAGCGCGAGCGCTGACTTACTGATTTTGTTGATGTCGTTGGATTCTGAGAGGGATGAAAAGAGCAGCCGGCTCTTTCGGAACTGAAGCACCACGTTCTCAATCAGTTGAGGTCCGTAGATCTCCCAGTCCACTGGATCGATGAACTCCCGCATGCGCTCGAACAAGCTTTTCAGCTTGAGTAAGCCCGGAGAGCAATCTTCTGGGTTCAACTCATCGCCCCAGCCAAAGCGAATGAAGTCGGAGAAGCCCAACGTCGCACGAACAAAGTACATGTCAAAGAGGAACTGCTGGATGCAGCACTCGCCAAAGTTCAACACTGAATCATGTTGAGTTGCCTTGGCAGCAACCAGAAGAGAAACTGCGGTATCATACACGGCCACACTCACGATGGTAAGCTGCTCCACGAGAACTTCACGAATAGTGCGCTGCATCAACTGGATCTGCTCATTTGTTATCCCGATGGAGCTCTGAGCCAACCGGTTCGCATCGTCCAGGCTGTAGCAGCAAGAGAAGAGAAAGCTTGACACTGTCGGCGTTTCGCACCATGGCAGCCAGACCTTTTCCTCTCCAAGAACCATCTCAGATTCCGAGGAAGAACCGTCGGTGTCTCCATCAAGTGCTTCATCAGAAATTTCTTGCTCAATCCAACCTTCGTGGGTAGCGATCCATTTCTAGCGAAGTCATAAGAGCTATTAATCTGTGCCAAATGTTAAAGTAGGATACCAGTAGAGCTGTACCTCGTTGGTCGAATCATACTGCTCGATAAGCATCAGCTCGCGCAACGGTTCAATCTTCTGCTCCAGAAGAATGGTAGCCCATGCCTCGCAGTACTTATTGGACAACCCATGCAGGACGTTCACGAACAGCTGCGGATATGACGCTTTTTGTTTAATCTCAGACACAAGGTAGAGAGAATAGAACCCCACAGCGTTGACCCGTCCGAGTTCTTCATCAATAAAACAGGTCAGCTTTTTCTCTTCGTCCCCAATAATTTCCTACACATATCCAGCAGAAATGTGAGTTCAGCCTCAAAAAATTTAAACGACGAAGCTTGACCAGCTCACCTCCAGTGCGGCTGTAAGTTGCGCCTTCATCACACAGCCACTGCTAGAATACTTCTCAAAAACTGGACCAACTACCAAGAGTGAGGGGTCTTTCGCAGGTATTGACACAGCAGTCGAGCTCCCAGGAAATAACTTGTTCATATGACGATGAAACCCAGCAACAATTCCCGCCAAAATGTTGGAGATGCTTAAGAAAACGCTTGGTAGTTGAACTGCACCATTAACAGTAGCAGACTTTTGGTTCATCGGGAGAGGATACTCCTGCTCGAAAAATATCACCAGCTTAAAAAGCGTGCGAAGAAACTCTTCGATCAGGACACTCTGTAGATCACTGGCATCCAGATCGGCCGCCTTCTTCTGGATCGTTTCGAAGTAGTCGTAGAACTTCACATTTCTGAGCCTGAAATCGCTTCGAGAAATGCTAGCAGCCGTGTCTTCCAAACTGACTCGAATCTGAGATTTAATCGCTTCGAGAGCTTCGACGAACGAGTTCTGTACCAAGTCACGCGTCCTCTTCCGAAACGCTTCGGCGTAAAGTACCGAAAAAACGGAATCAATGGGCCCATTTGGCCGCTTCTCAGGTGCTTCGCTAAGAACCTGACCCCACAACTTCACATGCTGACAGCCAGCACTGTTCTCGCTTACAGCAAACAGTTTGGATTGCACTTGCGATAGTTGCGAGATCGAGTCAATACTGGAAATAATCGGTGAAGCTACGTCACGTATCTGTACACAGACGACAGATCTTTTAGTACTGCAGCAAAGGGTGACCTACAATTTGTTTGTCGTACCTGTCGACGTCTCCGCTCGAGCCATTCGCTCAACATTTTTAGCATCTTTCCCGACGAGATAAACTGCTCCAACCCGTCCTTGAAGCTTGGTGGTAGCTGAGGAATCGATATCAACAAACCGTGTTCCCCAAAGATTTCCTCCGTTTGCGTCATCGTCAGGCTGATCGATTTCAAAATAATCATGAGCGCGCGCTCCTTCTTCGACGAAGATTTGTACGTCGCCTGGTTTTTCTCATCGCGTTTGTGAAGTGGAGTCATCCACTTGGTGCGAGACTCCAGAAACATCTCAAACAGCTTTTGCGCTCCAATAGCAGGGTCGTTCAGCACAGCAAGTGTACATAAATTGTCAGCATAAAATCGACTCTCCTTGCCTCGACAAGTCAAGTAGCTCTTCGCACACGACACCATCCTCTACAAAGGCGCCAACAATTTCGTTAATGTCCATATGATTGTAATTTATTCCAGTTTCACGTACCGGCCGAAAACACTCAATGCACGTCCATTGGGTCTGCAGGAATGGAAACTCGCTCTCTGTAGTCTTAGCGACGTATTCACAATGAATACTGGTCGCTCGTTGATATAGTTCCAGAGCTTGCAATGATTCTCCTTCATCCAGCAATTGCCACATCAGTTCGGGAACCCCCACCAGGAACGTCACTTTATCGGAGTCTGTAGCTTCAATCGGCAGGTCCTTTTGCTGCGTCTTGGGAGGATCCTCTTCTGTGTCATTACTAGGATGGTCCTGCACGGCCAACGCACTCGCTAGAGATATCTCCATGTGCTTCCACATGTCGGGCATCTCCTTGAGCGAAACTTCAAGACGCAGCGCAGCCGAGTGCATGTTCACGATCTTGTCCGCCGACTCGATAAGATCTCGGTATCGCACACCAATCATCTTCTGCATCTCCTTGGTCTTGTTCTCCTTCTCCTTCCTGAGTAGCAGAATTCGTTAATACAGAGAGTTTAACGTACACTAGGAGATACAAACTCCCCCTGCATGATTTAACACTACGCACGACGCACCTTGTCCTTTCCAGCAGAACTTTGGCGTCCGCCACGGACAGGCGACGCAGGAATCCCGCCGCATCGTCCGGCGTCGAGCCTTGCTCGGCCCTGCGTGCGGCTACCTTCGTCATCGCTTTGAAGCTGTGCGAATCGTACTTAAATGAATTTTGCACTTTCCAAATGGCGCGCCGCAGCCGCGCCAATAGCGTCGACGTCGGGCCACGGAGCGAGTCTGATGAGCGCTCGCCGCTGACACCCAACAGAGCAGCGCTACTGAGGACGCAGAAGAAAGCCAGTCCGGTGAGTAGTGCAAGTTTCGTTGTACTGTATCTAGAGCGCTGTGGGTTGAGAAATGCGTAAAAGTCTAAACCTTCACTTTATTTGGATGTAATCTGGTAGTTGCGACTGGATAGCAACAGTGGCGACGACACAGGCAGTGCAGACGATCGGGAAGGGCAGAAAGTGGTGCTGGCCGCGTCCATTTGGCGAGGAGATAAACCTTCCGATGCTGCGAATGCGGATGGTAATGGAATGCCTGAACGAAGCAGGTTCATTTTCCCAGAGTCTGACGTTGGTGCTATTGCGGTCTATACTCTGAACAGTGAAATTAAGTAATATGCGGCGATATTTGAGAGCGGCTCGGGCACTGTACGAGATGCAGTTCCAGATGAAGCGACCTGCGGCTATCTTGAAGATGAAGCCCAACTCGGTGAGAAGACGCAAATCCCCTACGTTGTCATTAACTCTACAGTGGCGCTAAATGTTGTTTTGGGGTCTGTGTGGTCGCCGGTAGTACGGACTGAAAAGCCGGTCCACATTCGACACGCTGACAGCGCTGGTGTCTCCACTCCGGGGTCATCAGGTTCTAGGTACGGTGTTTATCTGCCGTCGCATGTCTTACTCGTGCAAAGTAATTAATTCGAGGAACTGATGGTGTAGACGACTGGACGGGACTTGAAGTTGGTCTGTTTGAGGAGGCGTATGAACGCTTCGGAAAGGATTTCTATGCAATTGCTGAACAGGTTAGATCAATTGAGAAAAATCCATGAATGATTCTTCATCGCTAACGAGTTTTTGCATTCCTCAGCTTCCCAGGAAGACAGTGAAGGACATAATTGCGTTCTATTATTTCTGGAAGAAGCACGGATCATGTGCAAAGACTCGAGATGATGGCAATTTGTCGGATGATTTCTTGCCGGAACCTGAGCCGAGCGTATCAAGTGAGACGCTCAAACTCATGGATTGCCTTCGAAGTACGTGGAACTATTGAATCACTTCTTGATTTATTAGTTCACTGCTAATAAAAAGCATACAGAGCGACAGATCTACATTCAAGATTACCTTGACGCCGCACGAGCAATGTATGCCCCCCGACCGGCTTACGCGTCTCACCACAAGAGGCAGAAGATTTCTGAATTTGGCTTGCAGCGGGTGTCTGTCTTCCAGCAAGGTCTCAAAGGGTTATCACCGTTGCGTGTTCCATCTGTTCTAGGTACATGCCCGGTTCCTGGTATTTCTGTTCCTACAAAGCCAGACGTACGTGCTAACAGCAATTCCTTATGCGACGATAGATACGTGGACTCCTTTTGAGATCAGAGTGTTCGAGGTTGCGATTGAGTGCTACGGCAAGGATTTCACGCGAATTGCTGAAGTGGTATGTCTCAAATGGATTTTATTCATTGCGCCGATTTCTGATAGTTGGTGTTTGTTTCAGATTGGCAGCAAGTCGTGCGCAGACGTGATCGCATTCTACTACGTCTGGAAAAACGATTCGCACTATCAAGTCGTGAAGAACCGATGGGAGAGGAAGAACGAGGGGCGCACACCGAAGAAATCGCTCGCGGACTCAAAAGCTAAATGCGCATGATCTGTTCTCTATTGCAGATTTGGCGAACGTTTTGTGTATTTCAATCAGACGCCTTGAGGCAGACCTACCACGTCCCTGTTGGTGAGCAACGGCTACCTAGCTTAATCGATTGAGATAACTTCCTGCTCGACAGCCAGGCCTTCATGAGGATAGTTTTGCAGCTTCTTGCAAGCAGTGCACACCCAGGAGGCCGGAGGTAGCTCCTTCATGTTGATGCAGTACTTGTGGAACATGCGCTGGCACATATCGCAGAGCACCAACTCGTCCTCATTTTCCGGGTGCGTGCAGACCTCGCAGTTCTCCGAGTCCATCATGTACGTACGTGAGTTGTACAGCACAGGCTGCGTGGTACCGGGCTCCTGTTTCTGGATTTGCTTATGCTCCATTAGTTTCATGTTGCGATACACCTGAAAGCCGTGCAGTGCGTGTCCAATGTTCTTCAAGTCCAGCTTCTGGTTCATAAAGAACGGAAATTCCACCTGAAGAGCCTTAAAGCCTTGTAGCTGGCGTTGTTGCAGCAGCTTCGCGAGTGCGACGTATTCCGATGGGCGCGCACGGTTCTTGCCGAATACCTGAATCAGACTCTTCCTCGCGTCTAGGCTGAGCCATACAAACTCGTCCGTGATTAAGTCCTCGGCCAGCATGTGCAGCTCCATCAGGTCGCACACCACCTGCCAGCACGTAAATGATCCAAGTGCGTTGTCTTGGAACTTTCGAAGGGTCTCGAAAATGCTCTCGGAAGTGGTGCATTCCTTTACCGCCACTGTGGTCTCATCAATGTTCAGCAGAAACTTCTCCAGGGTCTTCAGATAAGAGGCCACTGTAAGGTCACGGTCGCCGGCCAGTAGATCACTGTCAGCGGTGCGCTTTGTCATCGCTAGCAGTCTGTGTCACACACAAAAGTCAGACCGCTATATTCTTGACGTTAGGAGGACAGCATAATAGACATACCGCTTACTAAAGTGGGGGAAGTCGTCGGAGCTCGGAATCCCCTTGAGCTTGTAAAAGGTTTCCAGTTGGTTGCAATACCTAAATGCTACTGCCATCCACAGTACTTCGCGCAGACCGAGGCGTCCTTGGTGAGATTGTTGCCATCGAAGCACATGCTTTCGGAGGTACGCAGTACTGCGATCCAGTTCGCGATAAATGTTGCAAGTAGCTGAACCATACACAACGTAGCACAATAAAAGAGAGGTCAATTAATATAAATAATAACTGCAGCATTCTCCATGGACTTACCGAATTTGATCAGGCACGCGTCGACACGCGGCACGTCGTTGCTGATTGAGTAACTGTGCCACATTCCATGGCGTTGATACACAAAGTCGTAGAAAGTGAGTGCACCCAGCCACCAGCTCTTGTACCCCTTGCCGTCCGAGCTGTTGAGTAGCTGATCGCCCAGAAAGTTAAGCGTGCGTCGCTGGCGCTTGGCAGGTTCCGCGTTATCGCTCTTGGAGCGCTTGGACGCTGAAGCGCTGTCACCATCGCCGTTCCCACGTTGTTTCTTCCGACGGAGGAATACCCCCTCGCACTCTTTGCTGCACACGGGAGTCACAGTTCCGCGCGTGCTGACGGAATACTCGGGATCGGGAGCCTGGCACACGAAGCAGTGGTTCGGGTCCGCGTTCCGCGAGTCGCCTGACGGCCGCATCCCCTTCATTTCGAGGTACTTGGCCTCACAGCCCACGGAGCACACAGGAACGGGCGCCGCTTTCTTAACCGTATTGGTGGACATGAACTCGGGGTTGGGCATGTGGCAAATAAAACACTCGGACAGGTTCGCGCTAGACGATGGAGCTACAGCGTCGTCTACAGATCCCGCGGCATCGCCATCCTCACTGTCGGTGGCGTGCGCGCTGCTGACAGAGTTACTAGTATTGTTGAACCACCGGCTCAGCTCGAACTCGTCGCCAAAGTTGACCATGATCCCGCCCGATGTATCCGCTACTTATGCGCGCCAATAACCAATTGAGGCTTTCAGCTTTTTTACTGGAATCGTACTTAAACTATTTTTGTTAAGTACGACAATCTTTTTGAGATCTTTCGATTGATTCCCGCCGGGTGCCATGGTGCACGTTGGCACGGTCCGTGGTGTCGATGTAGAAGTGTAAAAGCAGCGATACATTAGTACAACGAACGAAGAGTGCAGCAACAGATAAAAACCATGGTTTTGTTCGCTAAACTCGTGCGCCGATATGCATACACCATCGACGCATAAATTCCTATTATCTCGAGTCACAGCCGAGGGCATTGACCAGGTTGACGTAGCAAAATAGCTTAAGCGCCGAGCTTGGTCTTGAGGATCTGCTCGAGATTGACAATGTCGGCGCTGAAGCCGCGGATGCCCTCGGCGAGCTTCTCCGTGGCCATGGCGTCCTCGTTCATGCTCAAGCGGAAGTCCTTCTCGTCGTACGACAGCTTCTCGCCCGTGTAAGCCTTGCCAGCCGTCTCAGCGTCCAGCTTCTTGGCCAGAGTGGCAGTCGACTTGGTAAGCTCCTCCAAAAGTGCGGGGGAGATGGTCAGACGATCGCAGCCGGCCAACTCGGTAATTTCACCAGTGTTACGGAAGCTGGCACCCATGACGATAGTCTTGTAGTCGTACTTCTTGTAGTACTGGTAAATCTTGGTCACGGACACAACACCAGGGTCTTCGTGGGACTCGTAGCTCGACTTGCCGGTCTTGGCCTTGTGCCAGTCAAGGATACGGCCCACGAAAGGCGAGATAAGAGTGGCGCCAGCCTCAGCGCAGCCTACAGCCTGGGCAAAGCCGAAGAGCAGGGTCATGTTACACGAGATACCCTCCTTCTGCAAGTGGTTGCAGGCTTGGATACCCTCCCACGTGGAGGCAATTTTAATAAGGATACGGTCCTTCTTAATGCCGGCCTTCTCGTACAGATCAATAATACGGTGAGCACGCGCGATCGTCGACTCCGTGTCGAAGCTTAGGCGAGCATCAACCTCGGTCGACACGTAGCCAGGCACGACCTTAAGGATCTCCAGACCGAAGTTCACAGACAGCTTGTCAATGACGTAGCCCAGACGTTCCTTCTCAGACAGGTCGGCCGAAAGACCCTTGCCGTACGACACAGCGTCGTCCACAAGAGCCGAGTACTGCTCCATCTGGGCGGCCTTGAACAGCAGCGACGGGTTGGTGGTGGCATCCTGAGGCTTGTACTTGTTGATCTGCTCAAAGTCGCCCGTGTCGGCCACCACAGTGGTGAACTGCTTAAGCTGGTCCAGCTGCGAGGCTTCGCGGAGTTTCTTGTTGGGGGAGGCAGCCATCTTGATGGAGTATAGGATAGGTAAAGAGAGAGAATTGGTCTTCAGCGAGCAGATTCGAAAGTGAGCGTGGATACCGAATGCTCGGAGGGTAGACACCGTTGGTGCGACAATTTGACTTTAATAAAGTATGGGTTGTGTACTGGCGAGTGATTGTGAGCCCAAAGTTACCTAGCAGCTCTGGACGCGGTCAAGTTGATGATGAAGTTGACCGACTACATATCCACAGTATGGGACACCTTGCTGGTCCCCGTCAGCATAGGCTCTATGGACTTTGATCGCGTATAGCAGCTCTTCCTCTCAGGAACCACTTATTCATTCAAGAAACCTCATAACTTCAACTTCAATTGACAATTTAGACGGTGCCGTCCTCGAGCGAGAGCACCACCATTTTTTTATCGATATCTGCTACCTTTATTCTGCACGCTTCGCTCTACACGATCGCAGCGAACGTTGAGGTGGCCTTCTCGTACATGCCGAAGAAAACGAAGCCGCCGATGCTGATCCACATGGTACGAGGGCCAACACCTGAGAACAGACGCCTTAAGCCTTCGTCAGTGTACACACGCGACAGCGTGTTCAGTGTGCCCTTATATGGAACGCCCTTGGCATCCTTGCCAAGCATAAGCCGCGTCTTCACCACGTCGAGTGGAGTCGTGGTGGAAGCCGCCACACCACCGGCAATCGATCCGCAGATTGCACCTTGTAGTGAGGACACAGGGGCGTTCTGCTGCTTCGACCATTGATACTGAGGAGCATATAACGCAATGTGGTAATTAGTCTCGCGTACCTCCTTATGGCATATAAGTAGCGTACCTTCAAGCCCTCCCAAAGTGGGAACTGGATAAACGAAAAGGGGATCTCTCGCGCGATCATGCTCCAGTAGCCTCGGTAGAACCCAGCTATGTCATCCGCCATGCGAATAGCGTTGAGCGCTTCCGGTAGTGACTTGTACACACCGGTCTGCATACGCTGTTTCACAATTTCAGTGGGAGTGCGCACCAAACACGCCGCCTGGAATACAATCACAAACAACCACCTTGTTAGCACCCGACACTGTAGACAACATCGATCACACGTTCCAAATCCGCACCATTTCACCCGATGCTGCGGCCGCCATGTGAACAAGTGGCGAGTGCTTCTGGTTCGGAGCGGCCATGCCAAGCAGTGACTTGGAAGTCTCATAAGTGCCGAAGAAGAGTGCGCCTGGTGATAAAGGTACATGCAGAGCAACTGTCAAACATTATTCGGTTGCATAAATGCCCCGAACAATATTACCTCCAGGAGCTGATCCTGCAGCGGCAGCAGACAAGCCCGAGTAGACGCCTCGGAATCCACCAGCCTTGAAAAACCCGTGGGCCGATTGCAGACGCGTCTTAATGGTGTCGAGCGGGAACAGCGCAATGTCAACTGAAGTCCCTGCAACGGCTCCGCCCTGCACATGCCAATCAAAGCGTGAGCACCACCTCCACAGACAAAGATTTCAATCACTAAAAACTAGCGCACCAATAGAGCGGGGAAGAAGCCGCGCTCCGGAGGTACGTTGTCTGAGTTGTCGGCCATCCTTGCTTCCGAGCTGGGAATCACGCGCTCGCCTGTGGTCGACAGTTGAAAGCCGATTATGCAATCGGACCCGATTCTGGTAAACCAAAGTAGTAAACTGGTCAGCCTTCAAAAATGCACTTTAGACTAAGTACAAAGTAGGGTATGATGTAATTTTGGTAACCATACTGAAACAAGAGACTATACCCTATTTTGTCGCTTCTGAAGACTGGCAGGGCGAGTCACTCACTCAAAGAGAGCGCGGCTTCAGGGCTGCAGCGGATCAGGAGGCAGCCATGGGGATCGTCGATCGCATCAAGGAGATCGGTGCGTGATCACTGCCGTCTTTTGTGTCGATCATATAGACTACGTAGTATTCTATTGTCACCTCTAGCTTCGACGTGCAGCGTGATGAAGAGAATTGGGCAACTTCTAACGCCAAACTTGTTGCGTGCCTGCTTCCTTGAACAGAGGATGAGATGAAACGGACGCAGATTAACAAGGCCACGGAGGGCCATCTTGGTCGTCTGAAGGCCAAGCTTGCGAAGCTGCGGACGGAGGTGTGCTTGTATTCTTTATAGATTCTCGTCTTGTGATCATCATTACTCATGTTTTACTTTCATCTCTTTGAGTAGCTTCTTGATGAAGGAAAGTCGAGTGGCGGTGGAGGCGAAGGTAAACTATCTCTCTTCTACTAGAAGCACTTAAGGACAGTAATTAATCGTGCAACTATATAACTGCAGGCTTCGATGTGGCCAAAAGTGGCGATGGACGCGTTGCCTTGATCGGATTTCCTAGTGTGGGAAAGTCGACGATGTTGAGGTGCGTCTCCGTGCACATCTTTGCTGTGCTAATATGCCCTGAACGAACGAACAATTAACTCCTGCAGTCAACTGACGGAGACGCAATCAGAGACGAACGCTGTAGAGTTTACGACACTCACCTGTATTCCAGGCAATCTACTGTACAATGACGTCCGCATCCAGGTGAGCTTAGAAAGTGAAGGACGATAATGGTGTAGATTCCAAGCTGAACTTGTTGCTGCTGTTATTTATGTAGCTGCTGGATCTTCCGGGTATTATCGAAGGTGCCGCTCACGGTCGAGGACGTGGACGAGAAGTCATTGCTGTGGCCAAGTCGGCTGATATGATTCTGATGGTGCTGGATGCTGGTCGAGAGGCTGGCAACCGTCATCGTGAGATTCTGGAGAACGAATTGGAGACTGTTGGTCTGCGTCTCAACCGTCTGCCGCCTGATATTTACTTCCGGAAGAAGAATGGCGGTGGCATCACGTTCAACAGCACCCTTCGTCTAACCAAGGTACGAGGCACTTTTGTTGCTCCGAATAGCTATTTCGTGCTAACTGCGAACGTGCTATTAATTGCAATGCTGCAGCTTGGCGACGATCCGTATCAGACGGTGTACAAGATCTTACACGAGTACAAGATTCACAATTGTGAGGTTTTGTTCCGTGAAGACTGCACGACGGACGACTTTATCGATGTGATCGAAGGCAACCGAAAGTATGTGAAGTGCTTGTACGTGTATAACAAGATCGACGTGGTGTCAATTGAAGATGTGGACCGACTGGCGCGTATGCCCAACTCGACTGTAATTGCCTGCGCCCACGGTGATCGCCCTGCGGTACGTTTTGTTCTGTTAAGTTTTGGATCTATTTCTCTCTTTTCTGACTGCTGTATCGTTGCTTAGCTGAACTTTGACACGCTTCTGGCCAAGATGTGGGACTACATGGGGTTGACACGCGTTTACACCAAACGTCGTGGAGAGGTAAGACTAAGCTGTAGTTTCCCTTCAAGTGTACCAGCGCTAATACGTTGGTATTGCAGACCCCTCAATTCGAGGAACTGGTCGTCCTAGGCTCGGAGCGAAAAGGTGTCAGCGTTCAGTCAGCGTGTATGTCGGTACGTTCCTGTCTCGCTGTAGCATTAAGAGTAAATTTCCTGGCTTGAGTCCCTCCTCACAATTTTAAACTCGGTTGTAGATCTCGAAGGACATGCTGGACAACTTCAACTACGCATTGGTGTGGGGAACTAGCACGAAGTACAATCCGCAACGTGTTGGCAAGGAGCACATGCTAAACGATGAGGATGTGCTGCAGGTCATCGTAAAGACAGCTAACCAGCAAAAGCGTGACAAGAACTACAACCAGAAGGTGCAGGCGTACTTCGACAAGTACAAGAAGAAGAAGAAAGCGCTCAAGACATGAGCTTGTGACTTGGATGCAACAGTGCATTTGCCACCACAAAGAGACGCAATGGAACAATTAGATGTCTCTCGTTTCAGCAACGAACTATTCGCTGTTTTCCTTTGATTCTTCTGAAGTCTCTCCTGTACCAATCGGCGTAGGCGCCGCAAACACGTCGCTCTCTTCATGTTGAGTAGTATAGCCGTACAAGTTCTTGAGACGCTTCGTGATGCACTCCAAAGTTCTGACAAAACCACGATCAGCATTGAAGATATCATTCCAACTCATAGTTCTCAATGCACACTCACTCTTGCCTCATGGGTGGGAAGACAGCGCCGTCACTTTCCGATCTGCCCATAGTTCTGCGCACGTGCTCGAGAACGAATCTCCAGTTCGCAACAGGCTTTTTCTTGATCGGTAACGAAGACCAGCAACGCTCGTCATGGTCATGATCAGCAATGCCTTGAAGCGCTTTGCCGTTAGCAGTGAGTAAGGACTCCACGAAGTGATCGCCAAATTGACCGCCGACACGTGCGATATTAAATAGTCGTGACGCAGAAGGAATATTTTCCCGATTCTCACTGTGGGCAGTTCGTTTTCGCTTTCGCGACGAGCGTTGCAGGGCTTCAGCAGCTAGTGCGATTATGGGACGCGGGACTTGCGCAAACGGACTCTCTTTGGGCACATTGTGCTCACTTGGGTCTGGGTCTGGCTGTCGAATATCCGTGAATACTTCGTAATCCTCAAGAATCTCTGACGGATCCTGTGAAAAGCTACAGCAAGAACGTTAACATATCGACACAACAGAACAGAAACGACACAATCAAACTCACTCGGTATTACGGAGATTCCGAAAATGTTGAGGCCATCGGAATTTCCTTCAAAGAAAAGAAACACAATCCCAATCAGATCGCCGAACATAACGTCGCAAGTATCACGAACAAAAGCAGACTTAGTGAGAAGAGTTAAGCTTACCGTGCATACTCATCCAAGTGGCTCGTAGCGAACTCAAGCGGCGGACCAGAAAGCTTCACTCCCCGACGAATTGCCGTTTCTTCAACGAGAGGAATACGGGAAGTAATATTTCGCAGCACAAACTTCGCTTGCGCCACATCACTGCCACAGACCTCCTCGTCATTTGCATCCTCTGTGGGAATATCCTCGTCTTCCCATTCGTCTTTGCGCCACTCCTCGTCACTGTCTTCGACAATTTCGTCCCATTTACTCGTCGACGTTGAGCCTTCCTTGGCGTCTTCATCCTGCGGCTTCCAGTCCTCATCGTCTGTGTCTGAGCCAGGAGCTTCTTCTTTCATCGTGTCCATTTCTTCTTCAGTATCTTCACCATCGGCTTCCATCTTCACTGTATCAATCGAGTCCAGTGTCTGAGCCTCCTCCGTCTCGCTTTCATCATCACTGCTGCCGGACATACTCATCCGCTTTAAGCGTTTCAGCCCTTTAGTGCCGATCTTCTTCGTCGTTGCAAGCTCATCCTTTTCCTTGGGCATCTCGTTTTTTTTTGTCCCAATGTGTTTCTTCATCTTGGATGGACTCTGCTTTATGGGTGGCGTTTCGTCATTATCCTCGCTCTCCTCGCTGCTGCCGAGATCGGATGCACTCGAATCCTCGTCACTGCTGCTAGACTTGCTGATTTCAACGTCTTTCGCCTTCAAATCGCGTGGTTTCTCTTCTATATCGCTGTCTTCTTCACTGCTGCTGGAGCTGCTGTAACTCTTTCGCTTTTCAAGCTTAACTTCCGCTTCCGAATCGCTACTACTCGACTCGTTGAAGCCTGACTCACTGTCGTTGACATCCGCGCGCTTTACTTCAGGTTCACTGTCACTATTCGTGTCCTCATCAACCGGCAAAGGCACCTTGAGCTTGAACGGACCCCTTCGCTTGGCCATCCTCGATGCCAATCGACTTCTGTGTGCACCACACTAAATGTCCGTTGCCTATGCTTGTCAAACTGCGCATTTGCCATGGCTCATTTAGGCGTCAAGCGCGGCGAGCTGGCGCTGCTCGACGCCGAGGGACGTCCGGCTTCTCCAGCGCTGATACAAGGCGGCAATAATCATGTGCAAGTGCTGCGCGGAGGATTGCGCGCGGAGCTGCAGCCGCTGGGATTGATTTTGCTTCAACGCGCCGGCGTCCAGCGCGGCGACGCCTTCGTGCTCGTGTTGGATAACGACCGCACGAGTGTGGCCTGCATGCTGGCAGCCATGCATCTAAAGTGCATTTGTGCTCTCGTGGGCAAGAGCCGTGTAGCGCTACTGGATCATGTCAAGACTCAGACGGGTATCACCAAAGTGCTCACGGTGGATGACTCGTCCGAGTCCGTGAGCGTCCAGGACGACGCTAACTCACAGTCGACGACGACGAAAGCCGCTGCAATGACCTGGCTTCAAGAGGGCGAGATTGCTAACAGCGGATGTGTCTGCTTGCTCACGTCTGGCAGCGTCGGTGAGCCCAAGGTCGTGCCGTGCACATGGGATCACATGCTGCTGCAGGGCGAGTCCACACACCAGCAGCTATTCCCCAAACGTCCAGCACGCATCATCTGTGGAACATCAATCTCGCATGCATTCTCCATCAACACCATCTTCGCACTGTACACGTCTCCGTACGACGCGCAATCGGAACTCTGTTTCGCTTCCAGTGCCGTGGGACTTTACTCGCTGCTCTCGCAGCGCAGTGAACTGTTCACAGCATTCTACGCGACTCCTGGGACATACACCGCACTTGCCGCAATGCCACCGACTGCGCTGTATGCCGACGTTCCGTATTGCGCGGGTACACGTTTGTCTCTGAATTTGTTTCGCAAAATGCGTGACGACTATGGACTGCAACTGATGCAGAACTACGGCTCGACGGAGATGGGAGATATGGCAGCTTGGTATCTGCATGGGAAACGGTTTGACGAAGAGCTGAAAGAGATGGAAAGCAATGAAAAACAGCTATATGTTGGCTCAGTTTGGCCTGGCGTGGAGACTCGAACGAAGGATAACGGTGAGGTCACGATAACGACACCATGGCAGTCTATCGGATATGTAAAAGAGCACGTGCTACAGCGCTTGAACGGTGCTCACCATACGTCTGACCTTGGGGTCATCACACAAGACAAATACGGAGTAAGTTGCGCGTGGCTCCAGGGTCGTCTTCGCCCGACAGTCGAGGTTGAATGGCAAGGTCACCGCACAAAATACGCACCTTACGAGATCGAAGCGATGCTTGTTGCACATCCTCACGTGACAGATGCCCTCGTTCTGATGCAAGACGAGGCGAATCGCAGGCGAGGCATTGTTCGAGTTCGTATTGTCCTGGAAGACGGCGTTGCTGTAGATGCGTCGGATTTGATTCAATGGTGCATTGAGCACGACTTGTCGGCTCTACGTGACTCGCTCGTTATCGAGTTGGTGAAGTTTTTGCCTTGCAGTCCAGCCGGAAAACTCATGTACGCATGATCAACTGTAATGCTAAGCACTGTAACATGTCCACAACGTCAGCCAAAAACCAAATTAGAACAAAGTTATGGTTAATTTCTTCTTCCTCGGAAGAATGAGGGCATACTAGTTCCAGTTCTTATCGGAGATCGCATACATGTACATATGATCCGCGGAAATTGGGTCACCTAAATTACAGGTAAGACCACGGCTGCATGCAAGGTGTCTCAGTTAGCCTAAGAGTATCCTTCCGGAAAGAGTTCACTGAAAGAAGTGGTGACTTGACGAAGGATGTTTTCACGTTCAGTGCAGCACGTCGAACCCACAGCAATTAAAATCAGTTCTTCACAATAAAAAAGCGGATTATTTCAACTTTCGCAAAAAATATAATATCATATTGGACCAATTTTCACAATATAATGTACAAAAGTAAGCTCATACAAATTCCAGGTCAAAACTCGAATTGGTGGACAACAGTCGCTCACCACCATATCTTGTCAAATCTATATGCCATACTTACTTGTTGATGTTAAAACGACTGGTTACAGTAGTAGGTGAGGTCGAGATACCTCTTGTACCTCGCTCGCTCACTTTTCAAAGTAACCTCCCGCCTCAAACATGCTGACAAACAACAAGGACAACTGCGCGTACTTCTACGAGGCCCTCGATCAAGGCCGTTATCGCTGCAAGCAGTGTGGTAACGAGAGAAAGCAACTTGCCAATACTGGCTACTTGAACCTGATCGCTCACCTCGCTCACAAGCACCCCGGTTTCAAGACTCAGCATGCAGCCTCCCTTTCTACAACATCTAAAAGTCTCCAGGACTTTGGGTTTTTCTCCGAAGAGACGACACATCGTTTCCAGTGGATGCAGTGGGTCATCGAGCGCAATATGCCGCTCTCAGAAGTTGACAACGAGCTGACACGATCGATGTCGAAATGGACATCCATTTCTTCGCGCGTTCTTCTCAACGCAATGCACGACGTGGCCGAGAAAGTTGGCAAGACGATCGAGTCGATGCTGGGCAGCTATTTTGGAATAATGTTCGATGGATGGTCGAGTGGCTCCATGCACTACATCGCCGTTTATGGTGCTTTTGATACAGATGGGGATCTGCGTCTGCAGCTGCTCGCAGTGTCTCCCCTTGATGACGGATCGCAGGATGCAGATGTGCACATCAAGCTCTTTGACGGTGTGTTGAATGTCTACAACAAGACGCTCGACATGGTGGCGTTTATTGTTGGCGATAACTGCAGCACCAACCAGTCGATCGCCACCAAGCTTGGTGTTCCGCTTGTTGGTTGTGCCAGTCACCGGTTTAACTTGGCGGTTAACAAGTATCTCGCTGATTACGAACCGTTACTAGCGCAAGCTAACACGCTGATGTCAAAGTTATGTCAAGTTAATAACTTCGCCGAACTTTCAAAAGTGACCAGCCTCCATCCCATCAAACGGAATATGACGAGATGGAGTTCCAGTTTTGAGATGCTTCAGCGCTACATTCGAATTCGCCCTCAGATCAAGACAGTGGACGCCGTGGAGGAGCTGATCCTGACCGGTGCGTCACATCGGAAGCTGGTCGCTCTTCTTGAGCACATGAAGAAGTTTCAAAGCGTGACGAAGAAGCTCCAGACTGAAGGTATTGACTTGGCGGACGTGCGCCTTCTCTTTGACTCTGTGGTCGCTGAGTACCCATGCATGCGTGGCCACCTGAAGGCAGACGCTAACATCGTACATTCTCCTGTGTTCGATTCGGCTGTCGTCAAGGTCATAAACGGCGTCAATCTTTCCAACGCAGAGTCGCAAGCAGTCAAGCGGTTTGAAGTGCCGGTTTGTGGCAACAAGAGGAAAATTCGTGCCGAAGACTACGCGACTCAGATCCTTCGTGCTGGGCCAGGCAAGCGGTCCAAGCAGGACAAAGGTGCTATCTACAATTCTCTCTTAAAGCACCTTCCACCGACATCAAACACGTGCGAGAGACTTTTCTCGCAATGCAAGCTGGTATTAACTCCACAGCGTACGTCCATGCTACCCGCCAATTTCGAACTACTAATGTTTCTTCGGGCAAACAGGAGCCTGTGGGACGTGACTACATTGGCATCCGTTCGAAGTGAGTCAGAGTCATGATAATACATTGCAGTATTTGCGGTCGTTTTTATTATTGCTTCTTGAGGTATTGAATCATTATTACTGCTGTGGTCGGCAGGAAATTCCGTATAATATTGAATTGGAGAAGCCCTGCTCGCAAGGTGTCCCGGCTTGGCCTCAGATGTATTCGCAGACTGGGAGGACATCATGAATGGTGTCACCACTTCTTTCAATGAACCCTTACAAGAAGGACATTCTTCGCTGCTCATGACAGTATGCCGAACCGCCTGCAACGATCGAAGCCGAAGAGTTTAGCAGATTCTCAACGAGTGGATCAATTCAAGACCAAAAAAACGAAATGTTTGTGTTATGGATATCGAAAATAATCGAATCCATCTTTGGTTGAGTGGCTTGTAGTAATTTTCGTGCAGCCGTACGACCAAGGTTAACGTACTCCAGATATTTGCTTTCAAAAAGCCCTAGTGAAAACTCTTCAATTGCGCTCCCAGCCAAAGTCAGAAAATTAGGTTGTGAGCGCGAAAGAGCGGCTGGAACACAAGATAACTTGTTGTTTTCAAGATAAATGTTGGAAACCCAACGCCACTTAGTATCCAGTTCATCCGATATGGTATTCAAATCTGTGTTGTAAAAGATGATCAGGCCTAGGTTGAGCGGAAAATTAATGGACTGACAGCCAAGAGGAAGTTGACCGCCTGTCATTTTGACTTGAACGATCGCTACCATTACCAATTCGGGATGATGAGTATTCGTAATTGCTGCGTCGGAGCCCCACTCCGCAATTGTGGAGTTATACACAAGCATATTTGCTGTATGTTCTCCCATTGTGGCGGCCCGCTGTCAGTATCTTCCTCCCTTGTCGCCATGAGCAGAGCCGAATCCTCTCTTTCGCCCGGGTACCTTTGGGATTCCTTATGAATTTTGGAATTTTGGATACTTCTAAACTGTTTAAAACGTTTTTGTGTATTTTAAACTTTTTTACTCTTCAAATCTGAAACCATCTCTAGTCAGGCACTTCGAGAGCAGAACAATGTAGAAATTGGAGCTTCACAGCTGTGCTAGGCTCAGATTCATTCCATTTGACCCGTACTTAGTCAGAAATTCCAAGTTGAAACTGACCATGAAACACGATGGAAGCACCCCAGCCATGGGACGCACTCTTGGTATACACTCAATTCAAGACGGCTGAGTAGATGCGTAGATATGGAGAATGAGCACCACAACTCCATGAAGCAAAGAGAAAATGCACTCCACGAATTAAAGCATAAGAAATATCAGGATACGATCCTAAATGATTCCTGATTTTTTTAAGGAGTATGAAGTTCGGCTGAAGCTATCGGTACTTTAGATGTAGCTTGCCCGCCACAATGTGCCACTACATGTAGATTCCGATTTCTTGACGTAACGTTACAATATAAAAGCTCTTTCATGTTCGTGGTAGAAATAATCAAGCCGATTGTAAAGATGACGCGCATTGCCAAATCTGACCACGATACAACCACAACCACTTGCGCTTCATTCAGCATTTGTGCAGTCCACTCGTCATTATCGAGCAGGTCGAGCCCGAAGCCGGTTAAAACGGTGTCGTATTCGGCCACATAATTCATGACGACCATGAGAAATACTCCCATGGTTGATATCAGGCTTAGTACGCAGTCACATACGATTGCTGCAAACCTACGTCGAGGCTCATCTTTCCAAAACCATCGCAAATTGATGAGCACAGAGGACCAGCAGTTGGTCGTGATAAGACAAACGTAAAAGCGATTGAGCATTGTGCGCGGCAAAAATCTTGCTCATCCGAATAGCTTGCACAGTGTCTCGAGTAGCTCGCGACAAGTGGGAATAGCATGAAAATGCCAGCGCCAAGTGTACCAATATCTTCTCGTATAATGCTGTACCAATAGGCCAGACTTTAACACCTTGCTTACGAACGTCGTATAAGACGACATATTATTTTTGCTACGTCGTATATTACGACATTGCACGAAGGTCATTAGCAAATGGCTCGGAAAAGTTTTTTCAATACTTTAATCAAGTTACCACAAAAATATAATCTGCGAGAGGTCATTTTGCTACAAGTCAAAACCAGGCCAGGGGAAGGGGATCAGCCACGTCGTGAACAGCCACTCATTCGACATTTTGCTGGATGGTGCGCATACGGAATAGTCGACGCGAGAAGCCCGCCGCGCCGGCTGCCGCTACACACGATATTGACTTTGGCCACTTATGGCGGCAGCTTCGGGCGGCGGGGTGGAAGTCCAAGCGTCCGAGTGGCCTCCAGACTGAGTGGAGCTACTCGAGTCCTGACAACACGCACGTCTTCGTGGGGGAGAAATCAGTCGTGGACTACGCGTTCGACAGTGGCTTGCTGGAAGAGGCGGATGCTGATGCTCAAGTCCGAGATGAAGAAGGTGGGGAACTAGACCAAGCAGGAGCTGGTAGTAGTGGTGAAGAGCAACAACACGAGGGGGAAGACGTCGTTCGGCCTTCCCAGATCGACACGAGTGTCCTTCTTTCGCAGCATACCATTGATCGAATGTTCGGCACCCCAAGTGATGATGACATCGAGCTGTCGAAGACTGCAGTGAGCAGAGCATTCAATCTATCCTCAGAAAATCTACAAGACGGCGGTGCCCGCGAGGCCGCTGCTGGACTGCATTTACTTTCGGAGGCTTCTGGATTAGAGAGCGAGGGTGATGTAGACGAAGAAGAAGCCGCTGCGTCTCAACCTCGACGACGGACACTTACGCCGTTATCAGGCAAAGAGGACGTGAATGTTTTGCTGGATGGGGAGAAGCCGAGTGACTACGAGAACTACAGCTCGGGTGATAGCGACGACGACGGCATGAGTGATATTAACAGCGATTCCGGAGCCGGGATGTCCGAGGAAGATGACGACGTCCTGTCCGACAGTGACGCAGTTGAAATGGACAAGGCTTTCATTGCGGCACTACAGGTGGGCAATAACGCACTTAGCAGAACTGCTGCAACGGAGAGAGAGCAGACACTACGAGGAATGCAGTGGACGCCAGTGTCTTCGGAGTACGAGACAGATGCTGCTGCGTACCCTGGACTGGGCACCGAAGAAGCAAGGCCTGTGCCCGACCTGCTGCAATTATGGAGATCGCCAATCCTCACCTTCTTTTATTTCATGCCGAAATCTCTGTGGGTTTCTATCGCGGCTGAAACGAACCGATATGGTCTACAGCAAGCTGGCAAGCGCGCCCGTAACATTCAGGCACGGCAGACTGACCTTCGGCGTGAAACGATCAAGCAGATTACACGTCGTTTGAAGGCTAAGGCAGCATACTCTACACACGAGATTCTTCACGTTGTTGGACTCCTCGTTGCACGGATGCTCTGCCCTCAAAAGAAACGATTTGGTGCGCACTGGAGTATGGTGGAAGACGGTGCTGTTCCCGCCGGTCTTTTCGGGCGGTTCATGACGCGTGACAGGTGCCAGAGTATCATGCGAGACTTGCACTTCGTAGACAACACGATTGACCACGGTAACGATAAACTCTGGAAACTTCGCCCCGTTGTTGACAAGGTCCAAGAGCGCTTTTTGCTGGGGTGGTCTCTTTCTGCTATTTTTTCGTTTGATGAGGGTATACTGCCGTCCACGTCGAAGCGGAACACGACCCGGATGTTCATGGCCGACAAGCCTCACCGCTACGGGTCCAAACTATTTATGGTCTGTGACGCGCAGACGGCATACTGCCACAGGTACGTTTAAAATTTGTATGTCGTAACTATCTACTTTGTGTTTGCCTGACAACAGTGAATGTCGTAACTATCTAGGTTCGAAGTTTATGTGGGTAAGCGTGCATCTGCTGGTGGACCTGACACCTCAGTTGACTTTAAGACTGGAGCTGCAGCCGTGGTCCGGAATTTGAAGATTGTTCTCGCCCAGTCTCGTCACAAGTGGCATACCGTCGTAATCGATCGCTACTACTCGTCCGTGCTCCTTGCGATTGAGCTTCTGAGTATGAAGGTGTATGTTATTGGCACGATCATGACTAACCGGCTTGGATTCAACCCGAATCTCAGGGCTACGAGCAAGACACGCCCCCAGTGAGCATACCCCACGGTACATTCTCGTTCTCTCGCTCTATCGCCATCCCGACCATGATTTCCTGTGTTTGGTGGGACCGGAAGCCCGTCTATTATCTCTGTACGGGCTCCATTATGGCGGCGTCGACAATTGAGCGAAAAATAAAACGTATCGGTGCGGTTCGAGTGCCGTGCCCCTCTGCTGTAAATGACTACCAGAACTGGATGAGCGGAGTTGATGTCCACGATCAACTCCGTCTCCAGTCGTATTCACTGCAAATGTCGACGAGGTTCACGAAATATTATAAGAGCCTATTCTTAGGTTTGCTGGACATGGTCATGGTAAATGCGTATCTTACGCACAAAGAGGGGGCCAAGATCAAGGGGATGGCTGCTATGAAGCGCTCAGAGTGGTTTTGCGTCCTTCAAAATCAACTTCTCCAACTCAAAGCCGAAGATTTTGCTGGAGTGGAGGCAACACCGCCTCCTGCGAGCCAAAAGCGCCAGCGCACCCCAGTACGCCTCACGCACGCGCTGCAGCAGTCTGAAGATTGGGTTACCGTTACTGGGGTCCAGAAACGCCGGCAGAGATCGTGCAAGGTCTGCGCGCTCTTGCGTACTGAAAAGAAGAAGTCCTTCGCAACAACGTTCTTTTGCGAACGCTGCTCCGTTGATAATGCGAAATGCTGGTTGTGCAACCGTATTCGACGGGAATACAAGGGCGTTGCGAAGACATGCTATGATATCTGGCATGATGACTTCGACGCCGGGCAAGCTATCCCACCAAACTTAGGGAAGCGCATTGTGCTCCGTCGGCCCGGCCAGAAAGCTGGCCAAAGAAAGAAGACGCGACGGGAACTTCGACTTGGGCACGATGCTGGCAGCGACGACGGCAACGGTGGTGACAACGAGAATGGTAGTGATGACGAGTGAGCTTGGTTGCGTGTCAGTTGATTAGTGATTTGTTTCAAATACACAGCTTCTTGAACCATCGTACCTTCGTCCTTGCGTTTCTTGATTTAAGTGGACTGCCTGTGAAGCAATTTAGCCATCTGTTGACTGCACTTGCAGTCAGTTACGACATTGAGCAGGCAATACTGTCGCTGAATCCCGTCAGAGTTACGACATTGAAAGAAAAACCTGTTGAAAATTAATGCACCTAACCTCACGTCAAAAAGGGCACCCATACAAATACGTAGTAACATTGATATACCGTATCTTACGACATGCGCTTACGCGTTCTGGGCAAGTACCGTCCGGACGCAAGGTGTTAAGAGAAGCAGTTCATCTTGCCGCAGATTCTGTGGATATTCTGATGCTTGTACTGGTAAAAGAACTCTTGTCAGCTCGCATTTCGATTCTCGTGCATGTGACTATGGCAAGTCTACAGTAGTGGGTGAAAGTGAGAAGGCCAGCGTGCGTTGCCTTAGTGTCCCACGATCATTATAAGGGCGCTGACTCGGTGCATTATGGACATGACAATATGCACATATGCTATGGCTCTGAAATGATTGCGCTGCATCCCGACACCATACATCTCCAAGGTGTAGCTCAGGTTAGTGTCATTGAAATCCCAGTAACACTTGGCGTACCGCGCATTGTATGCTGCGGTGACGATGAACACGGATAAAACGACGAGCCACCACAGCGCGAAAACCCACACAGCGACAAATTCACATATCCTTGTTTTAGTCTAAAGATGAATAGTACATGTAGTATTAGCTTTTGATACATCGACGGGTTGGCACATTGCCACTGCTGCACTTTTCAATTGAATGGTTACTTAGACTCCAGGCAGCCGGAGGTAGTGTCAAAACGAAACGCTACGACTACTATATTACATCTGCACGACGTGCAGGGCCTTCTCGTCGCATAGTGCGATGCAATTTGGTTCCGTAGGTGACCACCGGATCTGGTTGATAGGTTCGTCCGACTTCAGTAAAGTGTAGCAAGTGCCGTCAACGTTATCATCCGAACTCGTCATTTGAGCGCAGATGTCGTACACGATTGCTGTGTTGTCTTCTCCAGCACTACACAGATCGTATCGTGAGTGAGGAGACCATGACATTGAGTTGACGCCTGCCTGGTGCTGGTTCAGCTCCGCCATAGGGTAGATAGGGCGACGGAGGTCGATGACAGAAATCTTGGAGCTGTCGTCAGCGAACGTCGCAATGAAGCGATCATCGCGTTTATTCCACGCTAGTCTGAGAAGAGGTGCATTCGGATCTTCGTACACGATGGTGCTTGAAGCCAACGATCTGCACCATTCAAAATTATTTAGTCACGTTCGGAGGCACGTCAAGTGACAGCAATTGCTCACCTCAAGTCAAATAGCCGCAGCGATCCGTCACCACCCACCGAAGCGAACTTCTGGGGGTCGCTACTTGAGAACGCAATGTCGTACACTTCAGTGTCGTGCGTACCGATATTGTGCTTTGGTGATGTCGGTTGCTGCAGCATTAACAAGTATTACTAATTTATATACACACTTTTCTGGTTTTAATAACCCCTAGATCGTACATTGATGTCCCAGATGGTGCACGTGTTGCTTGTGCTGGACGTTCCGATGATATTTGGCTCCACTTCATTCCAATCAAAACTTGTGAGCGGTGCGCAGGCATCATTGTTATTCTTTTTCTGCAACAAGAGCGTCCTCATTAGATAGAGTAGTCATCAGCAACTATTATGAAATCAACCACCCACCGCTGTGAATCTCGAGTGCAGCTCTATGGACGAATCTGAGATCGTCCAGAGTCGCAAAAAGTCGGCGGTTGTTGCCAGCAATTCCACATGCGAACCAAGCGAAGCCGGCGACCACATGATCTTGGTGGGTGGGTACGGGTGGTCGATCTCCAGCGCGGAGACCACCTCCTTCTGGTTGGCCGTCGGGTGGAAGATCTACGTATTTTAACAATGGTAAGTTAAACAAATCGACAGCATTCCTAAAAGGCAGCGCCATTATACCTCGATTCTATTGGCGTACTCGCCCAGGATGAAGGTAGAGGCGGCAATTCGCAGGGAGTTCAAGTCTGGCCTCCAGCAAAGTCCATACAGACGGTCCCGCGTCGGGTACGTGATGAAGGGACGGTCGCAGAACACCGAGCGCTGAGGCGTCGCCATTTTTAACGATTGCGGGCTGACTGTCTTGCCTGTTTTAACCGAAAATAAAACAGCAACTTATTTTCGGACCGAAATTAACTGTCCATTTACCAATCACAACAAACTGAAGTGGTTACGCCATTGTAACCTTTTAAGATTCATCGATGGCGCCGTCAACTCGAAAGAAGCACGCATCTCGGTATGCTAAGGATGCGGATATCATGCGTCTGCCGCACTTGACCCACACAGCGCTGCGACTTAGAGATAGGCAACATCATGTGGAACCTGGACCTTGGACGGGACCTATAGCTGTAGAGGAACGTTATGAAGGCGAACAAAAACTATCAAGTAAAAGACCATTTGACGACGCGCCAGAGAAGAAGCTAAATCCTATACGAGCCAAGAAACAAGTTGTCCGTCTCCGTCCAGGGCTAAAACGCTGCAAGCTCCCTGAAGATGATCCAGGAGGATACGTACCGAAGCTGCCAGAGTTAGACGAGCGTGTGTTAATTCTGTATCATTCTTCACTTAAACGTGCCTGGAAGCAGCAACGGAAACAGCCGGAGATTAATAAAACGATGTCTTCGCTGAGTCGCTATGGACATGAAGCCATTTACGCAGCTACTCTGATCCAGAAGATTGTGCGAGGTGTCGCGGCTCGCGAAGAGTGGCGAGCATTTTATTGTCTGCGGAATCAGAGTGCGGCCGCGCGGATTCAGTTTGCATTTCGACGAGTACTAGTGTGCCGGAGGGTTCTTGCGCGCCTTACAAAGAAGAGAAGTGACCGAGCAACTCAAATACAAGCTTGGTTTCGAGGGTATCGATGTCGAGATCTGCTGCTACTTCAGTACATTCGAGTCATGAACCAGAGAATCGCCAATTTCCAGAAGTATATACGTGGTCGACGTCTATGGCGTATCGTGATGGCTATGCTGCATAGGCGACGATGTGATGTGGCTACCGAGATCCAACGCTGTCACCGAGGATGGAAGGGAAGGCAACGAGCGGTTGCGATCCGATTTGAACAAAATCGATATGTGCGGGCACTAATCCGAGAGAGCAAAATCCATGCTCAATGCGCAAGATGTAGTGGCTGTCAGCTTGACAGTTGTACAGAGGATTCACTGTTTGCATGCTTCATGGCACGTTATGTGGGTCTTCACGACTTCAAAGGAGCAAAAACGCTTTGTGAAGACGGGTTGCGGCTCTTTCCGTCGTCAGCCAAGTTTGTATTTTTCTATGCTGTTCTTTTACAAGCCATTTGTGAAGAAATTGAGACTTTCATGGTATTCTTAAAACGAGCTAAGGAGATCGGTATCACCAACGAGCAACTATCGGAGGTAAGGTGGTGATACAGTATCGTTGCAGTTGACCGTACTTATGACCGTGCTGTATTGGCAGTGCGAGACCCATTTCTTCCTGCCTGCACATTTGCTGCGTCCCGATGATGCTCAGACGTTCCTAGATTTGGCGATTTTGTGTCAATGCTGCGGCCAACTCCCTCGCGCAGAAGCAAATTACGCGAAAGCGCTGGACCAATTGCCTCAGGAGTATGCCATTCCTGGCTATCTGCACCGCGTGAATATGGTGGACCGCCTACTACTTAACTATCATCGATTCTGCTCGATTTTCAATTTCCGTCAAGTAAATGTGCTACTGAAGGAAGTCTTCACTGCGAAAAAAGGCAAGAAGGTCCGTCTAATGGTTTCGAAGCTCAATCACTACACCGCAATAACTCCGATGGACAGCCCAACAACCTGTCGGATAAATGCTCTATACTTGACGGACGATGAAGTTCGCAGCGTTATTAAGCTATCAGAGAGCGAAGAAGATGACGGATAGGAGCTTAACGCGGGAACTATTGACAAGTACGTTAGAACGAGGAGGGGAAGCAATATGGATGCCTCAATGAGGCAGCAGACGTATCACTCAACGTCGAAAGACAATCCAGATAAAGCGCCACGGATCCTTTCAAAGACAGTTGCGATCACCCAGATTTACTACCAAGACATTGCTGGATTAAATGTCAAGCCAAGCGTTCTTGGACAGTTCTCAGAAGGGCGATCGAAGCTACGACTAACCAGAACGAGTGCTGAGTTTCTCCTTAACACCTTAGTTTTTGTTGATCCAGTTACAGAGGCACCGTACCATGAAGACGAAAGCAAAGTGTTTCAGACGGTGATGCTGATACCCTATATACTAAAACTACGACAGCAACATCGGAGCGGTATGATTTCTTCAAGAGCAGCTCTTGATGTTCAGAGGGTGTATCGTGGATTTCGACTCCGAGCTGAGATTCGACGGGAACGATTTCTACATGACATTAGGCAGAAACAAGCAGATGAAATGTACCATCGACTTCACAAAAGCTACGTCCTTCGAGAACTGAGACGAACTAGCGCTATAGCAATCCAGAAAATATACAAGGGATGCGCGCTTCGAAAGCTACTTCAGCTCTGGAAAACCAAGGCAGGTCAAATTCAGCGGGTTTTCCGGGGCTATCGAGGCCGACTAAGAGCTGCAGCATTCCGAGATGGGACGTGTACATTTTACATGGCCCAACGAGTCTATCAACGAGGAGTAAACATCAGTGGGCATCGAGTTATGCTCGTTATTGATAAGGTTCGACTTTTTTTAGTGTAGATATCCCTCTCACCATTGCTAAATCGTTATGTGTTGTTTTTCGCGGTTAGTGTGGCTTCTCATTTCGGCTAGATGGCTACGATTTGGCGTCGTGCGTCGCTTACAACGGATTTTTGTCCCACTCGAGCTCAATGAATCTACTGTGTTATCTGAACTGGACCTACGCTGAGACGCTATGTGGACGCGAGTTTACTCGAAAGGGTGACAAGATTACCATCCGCAGCGTGTCGTCAGTCAATCGCTTAACAGCTGAGTGTTTCGTTATCTGCGTCGGAGGCACGTTAGCAGAGTTCACCGTGCCACTTGCAGACTGTATCCAAGCTATCAATTTGCGAAATTTCAGTGCTGGAGCCAAGGAAACACCCTTGTTAGCCATGCCTATGACTGTCGACGATACTGCGCGGTTTGTTCAGGCCATCGCGGGACGTGTGATCTTGGTCCCAGCGCTTCGAATGGCTACGCAAGACCTAAAAGCGAAGGCATCAGCTGGCTTCACTATTTCAGTTCAACCCCCGCCAGAAATGCACTTCATGTTCCAACGGAAGCCAAGCGTACGGAGTAAAAACTCTCATACCAACACCTCAAGTTCGTCCGTGCTTCAGTTTGTATACCCTGTCATTGATGGTCTTCGGGGTGTCAGCATTGGCACAAAGCAGTTCCGCAAAAAATGTACACGACACGCAGTTCAGTTCACTCGGTGCCGCTGTATGCTGCCCATTATCTCTACGTCAGCACACGTTGAAGCGATCAGTCGAGCTCTCGCACTATCGTCGACAACTTCAGGATCGCAGCACCATGTACAATGAAGTGTTTATTTATCATCGTTGGTGCCGGACGATATTGGAGTTACTGGCATAAAGTACCGATGTATGGCATCTCGAAAGCGTTTTCCATACAGCCCCGGCTCGATAATCGTGGGAGACGACTGGCCAGCGATCATACCCACAGACTTGCCGACACTCTCCACCCGCTTTATTAGATCAAATTGGCGCAAGTAGTCAATAATGCCGACGGTCATTTCGGATGGATCCTCGTCGTCCTCTCCCTTGACAGTATCTCGACGATAGCTTAGCCCCATGACCATCGAATAGTCGACGATGTTGATCGAATAGAGAAACGCAGTATCGTTCTCCACAGCCTTCAGAATAAATTTGTGGTCCTCTGCTAGCACACCCACGGGGTGGCCTTTGGTGAATTCCAAGAAGTTGCCGTCCAGCAGTACACGGCCACTGGTATCATTCTCTGAAGAGGGACGTGGCTTGGCGAATCGATTCCGAGAGCTTCCCTTGAGGTCGTAGGTCCGAGTGAGCTGCTTTTGGTAGAACGCGTTTTCCATGACACAGATGTATTGCACTGTCTTCTGTCCGGAGTCCTTTCGAGTGATGGTCGTCTGGTAAAGCCCCACAGTTTTTGATAAAAGACTGGCACAACCATCGAAGTAGATACTCGCCATGTACTTAAAGTACTCTGGAAGGCATCCCAAGAAACTCTAAATTGTGGTTAGTTTTCTTCGTCAAGGGAGGGTCAAACGCATACGACACATACCTGCATTTCTTTCGATGAAATGTGTTTGATCACAAAGCGGTCGTCGAGTGTTCGGTAAAAAGAGGCTCCTGATTTACCACCGTTGGCATCCCAATTTGCCACGTGAGATATTGAAAATGCAAAATTTTGCAGACTCCCGTAGAATAATTCGCGTAGGACTTCAAACTGCATCACCATCAACATCGTTAAATTTCTTGACCACGGTGATTACAGCATCAATTGGCTTACCTGAAGTGGGTAGTACGCTATCGTCGATAGCTCCCAGCACGTGTTTGACATTGTTGACGATGTCTTTCCAGAAAGCAGCGACAAGTGCAGCGGCATTTCTATTGCGGCGAACTTAAACGGCACATTCAGTGTTGTTTCGAGAGCAGCACGCGACCAATTCGTGCTTGCACCATCAAAATGTTGTTTCTGCGCATCAACCGACTCGACGCCTTCACTGTGGACACGAAGCTTCCATCCGTCCAACTCTTCCTCGTAGGAATCAGTTGACAAAGCATACGCAACCCATGTGATCGGTTGTGCCTCGTTTACCAGCACAACTCGAGACTTAGATCGGTGAGGGAGACTAGGGTGCCCCGTAGTCAGCTCTTCTGGAAGATCAATAGTGAAGTCGCTTCCAGGCTCAGGTCGACCGAGAACGCGGTAGAGATCCAACAACGCATCCTTCCAACCTGGTCGTGAGCTCTAGAACACAGCATTGCGTTACATTCGTAAGAAAGGGCAGACACTGTAACACTCCTCATAATACGCACCTCTTTTCCGTCTCCACTACTGCTGGCGCCGCTTGAGAACGGCATCGGTGGTCGCTTCAAGGATTCAATGTGTCCGATCGTCGATGACGGTGATACTGCACTTCGCGTCATCACTTCTGACTCAATCGCAGAATTTAGGGCACCACTACTTCGGCGTCGAACAAGCGGCTCGGCACCTTCACCCCAATCAGGTTCTTTAATAATGACACTGGGCGTCAAAGTAGCCTCCTCTACAACCCGCGGCGATACAATCGGCGACATCACAGCTGAAGGATGAAAGGTAACACCTCCAAGCGTGAACGAGCCACTATTCGGTGCTGGTGGAGCCGTTTCCGTCGATACATGCTTCTTAACTAGCTTGCGAAGTCGCAGTATGCAAGTGATCCACTTGCACGCCATCAAATACAGCGCGCGGTGCGTGGCGTCGCAAGCGCCCAAACTGTTCGCAGTTTCCTGCTCCAGTTGCGTCAATTTATGGGAAATCATTGCATCACCACTTCGCACCATCTTGGAAATACACATGACTTCAAGAATGATGCGAGCGTGATGATGATCTGTATCAGTGCGCTCAAAAGCCTCCACAGCCTGAATAATCCCCTGCACCTTTTCCGTGAAAGACTGTATCAGCGCTTTCAGCAGCCCTTTCAACCCCTCCAGACGAGCAGAGACTTCTTTTTCCACAATTTCTCGCTCGGTTTTCTCCAAAGGTTGCTTTAGATGAACGATACCAGTGCCGTGCTTCAAATTGGAGCGATCAAGACGAAGTGACACCTGCTTCTGGAACTCGAAACGTGCAACCGAGTTGCCGATGTTGAAGAAAAGCACGTGCGACTCCATAGAGGTGTGTGCACACATCGCGGACGGTGATTTAGGCAACACCGATCCTTCTGCCTCAGTGAAGAGAACTTCAAGGAATCTCGCAAACGAGTACTTGTAAATGTACTTCTCCAACGGGATAAAAGGGGAAATGACACCTTTACATTCGTGACACCACCGCCAAAATATCACTGTAGGGTATCCGTTCTCCGCGGCTAATGCAGTGTCGTCTTCACTTCCAGACGGTTGGGAAAAGGAATTTGGTGTCATCATCGCCAGCAGGTTGATATCCCGCTCCGATCCCATCGTGAAGGACAGTTCACTGAAAGATCCAAACGATTTATCTGTTACTCCAGGGTCGCTCGCTTGACTCAGAGACATCGATAGAGATTGTTTGTTCTTGTCTGGCAACTCTTCAAACGAAATTGTGATCGTTCCTGTCCGGCAGCTGAATGAGTGCACATGTTCTGCCATTAAGCGATTGCATTTGACATTCTAGGAATAACAGAACAATAGCAACGCCTTGTCAGTACATGGTGAAAGCGATTCACAGCGAGCAAACCACATACCTGGCACTTTAGCGAGAGAGCTGCCAATTCTTGGTTGAGAAAATTGCCGAATGACACGTCTTCGTCTGAACAGGCTGTAATGCGAAGATGTTTAGCTTCAACGCACTGATGGTAGCGAGGGTTCGAAGATCCAGGGTCCCGGACTCGTAAAGTGGACGTTGTACACCAGGTAGTGTGTTGTTCCTCGCTAAGTTTCGCTCTGATATTCTTGTTCAAGTCAAGATCGGACAGCACATGAGCTTCCAACAGCAACTGATACGTCATCGATAGCACTGTACGCGTCAGCTGCTTGAATACCCTCAACGTTTGCTTTGATGGGCCAGTGATAAGTACTGTGCAGCCATTTAATGGGTCGCATCCGTCAAGGTACAAGTAGGTATCAGTTCGCAAGCGACTTGGCACTGCAGGTGCTTTCATAAACACCCCAGCAAGCGCCTGCAACGACTTCTTCGCTGGCGACAAGCCTTCGTCCGGAACTACAGGAATCGATTTGACCATGAATGAACGACATCGACCAATTACTTTAGCAGGATCGGCTTTATCCACATGATCCACCGATGTCAGAACGTCAGCTCCAGTGTGACGTGCGATTCGACGCAGCATTTCACTCTTGACGTTGAGCACGATCGAAATTCGGCGCTCACACAATAGCTCTTGTGCATGTCGTGACACAGTCTTCTCCACAAAAATTACATCTGGCTCCAGCGCCGAAATCTTGTCAACCAATATGGCCATGTAGCTCTTCTCCTGCTCCAGTAATGTGTCCAGTGAGCTCATTCGCCCAGTGCCATTTGAGCGATCGTAGCTTATTCCGCAAGCAAACAGCAAGATGCGCGGGTTCGCCACCTCCCGCGCCATTTGCTTGTGACTCAAGTGTTTGTGACACACAGTCCCAGCGAGCCATTTGAAATTGTAACTCGGTTCCTTCTTGGAGCTGGTAGCCATTGCGATGCTCTTCACTTTGACGAGATTCGAGTAGTTGAAGCCACTTGGAGAGCGGAAATTCATACTAAACAGTAAATGTCCCGTCACGACAAACGCCATGTCTTCCAGCGTCAAAGCCAGCTGATCTCGATCAATCGCCTCAGCTTCTGGCAAGCCCTTTGACAGAGCAGACACGGACTGTTTAATACCATCGCGAATTTGTTCGTGGGCGCTTTGCTGCACGTTAAAACAAAGATAATATGCGTCAGTGTTAGCCCTCTATTGTGTGCGCAGGGTCTCATCTTACCATATACATGTCCAGCGCAATCTCTCGTTGCGTGTGGAGGTTATTACTGTTTTGCGTCGCAAGTTCCCACTGTGTCTCTTCGAGGACCGTTGAAACCTCCTTTTTAGGAGACGCCTTTTTCCTCCCCTGCTTAAAAGCGAGCACTTCTGCCTCCATGAGGCCCCCACTTTCAATCGCATCCAAAAGTTCAGCACTAGAACGTCTCCTTCTGGTCCGTACTTGAGGGCGAAACCTTCGCTGCACTTCTGTACTGTCTGATTCCTCAAATAAATCTATCGACTCATTTGTGGCGCTTGTTGGGTCAGCAGACTGCTCAATGTCACTTGAATTCGAATCGACTGGTGATAACAGTGTCGGTACTTCATTTGGGTCGACGGGAGGACCAAAAACAAGCGGTGATGGCTTCACTCCGCTAAGTTCTTCACTCAGTCGATGTGACGTTCGGTCAAATCGACTCGAAAATGATTCTCTCGACGTCTCGTTCGCATCTAAACTCTCGATCGAGTGCCGTCTCTGATCCTTGTCATGTAATTTCTTCTTCCCAGCAGCATCTGCGAATTGAAAGCAGAACGTACACACTCGAATGACGCCAGGGAAGCTATGGGGCGTTCCGTCGACGAATTGGCTGCTGCACTCGTAGCAGAAAATTTGCCCACAGAGTCGGCAATGATGACGACGTCGGAAGAGTGAAAACGCTGCAGAACAGTCGTAGCATACCTAAGAGGACAAGCATCACGTCCGTTAAAATACCAGCACCGCTTTGATATACTTCATGCAGACACACGACTCACCTTGCAGAGGTGATCTGGCATCCAGTATTGGTTGCCAGCCGACATGGGCGGCGGTCGTATCTTCACTGGAGACGCTGGTTTACCCGACACCAGAGCAGAGTAAGCTCATTGTTGTCACTAATCGAATAAATACTGTAGTTGCGCTACATACCGACATGCTTTGGATTCTCAGAGCGTACAGCGTCACTGTCTGGCTCCTGCTAAAGCCATTGGAAGGCAACAAGAAGTTAGTAAAAAGCTCGTACGATACCAGCAAAGCCTTGTCACTTTAAGATGTAAACAGATCGTGTACCTGAAATGTGGGGGCCATGAACCCTGGCACCGGGAATGTCGTCAAGCTGAACAATAATAACAGGAACCCCAATCGCATTCAGATACAGACAGACCCACTGCCAAGTCTACTGCTGCAAGTTCGCACCGTGATGGGTCTCGATCCAGACGCTGGTGCGGCATCGACTGCACACGCCGCTCCGCGTCCGCCATCTTTGCAAGAAAAGCAGGACACCTCCTGATTTTGCACTCGCTCAGCTTCACGTACTGTAATGATTTCTCTTCCACAGCCGCAATCGAACGTTTGGGTACAGTACCAAAAAATTGGGAAGCTTAGCATTTTTTGCTAAAAAAACTCAAAGATAAAAGACACACCCACGATTTCGGCGTTTCCATGTAAAACAATGAAATTACCCTATCCGCGACATGGTAAAATGTCGAAATGCTTTAGATAATGTCATTATTGATCATGTCATTATCTAAAGCATTTGTTTTTTGAAAAAAAAATCAGACATTTGATAATGACATTATTCAAAGCACTAGCCAAGCGCCGCTACGCGGCGGTAATTTAGGTTTAGTTCTACTTGCTTTGGCCTTCCGGCCTCCGCTACGCTTCGGCGGGATAACTGTTGAAAAAAAGCTGAACCCATGTGTACCTAAATCCATTAATTTGGGTCAGCATGATGCTTACCTGATTTAAGAAATAATTATTCTAATGATCTTGAATCAAGATTCTTGATGCAATCTCTTTTTATTGCTGGCTATCACTGTATCTTCATCTTCCACTTAAAACCACCAGCACTTCAAATAATATTTATACAAACGCTTCACAATATGTTTCGCTTAGCGTCGTGCTCGATATATCGGGCCATTTCTGAGCCGCTATGAAACTTAGCTCACATCAGCACAAACGATAGTAATGGCCTGTCCAACTTGCTCTACGTACTTGCTTGTACTGCCTATTTCAGCTTGTACGTAACTAAAGATTGCTCACCTTTCAAATCAAACTCAATGAAAGCTAAAAATATTCAAATTGTACTTTTTATAATGTATGTAGCGTTCATTTTGTGCTGATTCAGAGCTAGCACTCGAGTTATGATTGAAGCATTTGGATATTGTGTCGCAAGACGCCTTGATGCTACGGTAGTGTTTTCTATTTGATAATGTAGCGATGATTCCAGGGTTATTGGACGTTATTTAGGCTCCAAGTTTATTAACGTTTCTTTATGGGGTCTACTTAACCAACTATAATTCAAACCTCTCGTGTTTTGTTGTTGTCTTGCCAATTCACTTAAAATCGTATCCTACGCCCCTGTCGACGACACGTCCGCCAGTTAGGTAGTCTCGGATTTTGCTGTCTAAACAACTATTAGACAACAATGGTTTACAGCAGTATCACACATGAGTTCGTTTTATTCAATCTAAAACTATCTATCTATATGGATCAAGTGACTTAGCACAGCGTTGCTCTTATGGCCAGCTTCTGTTGTATATGTACTACGATTTGGCAGCTCAGTAGTTACCTCACTCTCAGATAATTTAATAATATATCTACAACAAAATAGTTGAAGCTATTAAAGTCATTGTACCTTGCATAAACTATTAAGTACAGAGTATACGTATATAATAGTATGGCCTCCAAAACACGCATTCCTACGCGTACGCTAAGCACCTTGCAACCTAGAGAGCGTCTTTAGGGGCTTTTCATTTGTGAATAAGTAGCTCTGTCTGTTTCGCACTTAAATATTCAAAGCCACATGCATTATTAAAAAATTAAATACTTCGTAATATTAAAACGATGCCGCCTTCGGATAATGGATAGTTTTGTGCAAATCTCCATATGTACTCTGTGAACCACATGTATTTATTGATGTTAGTTATATCATTCCGTTTTAACCAATCGAAGCCGCCTTCGCTCCGCTCGGCAGCCAATGGGAAGTCTCAAAATTCTGAGCGTTTCGTGTGACGGACGGACGGACACCGTGCTAGCCTTGATACTTTAGGACTAGCCGTTCGCCGCCGCTACGCGGCGGAGGTGGCAGGCTGTTGTCCAAGGGGAAATGGGCTCACGCCCTCGCTGCGCTCAGGCGTAAACATGTTTTATGTAAACGTGATGTATTAAATGCATATGAAATTGAACATTCCTACTCCGAACCAAAGATCTGCCTGTAGACAATGTTCTGGGCGTAGACCCCATCCTCCTCCTCCAGCTTTGGGTACTCGACCAGCGCCTTGAATCTTGATCTTGAAGTAACTCGCGACATCGCAACGTACAGCTGCCCGTGGGAGAAGCAAGGCGTAGCAAGATACAGCCCCAAGTACTGCACCGTTTGTCCTTGCGCCTTGTTAATCGTCATCGCAAAGGCCGGTTGGACAGGAAAATGCTTGCGTCTCAAATGAAACGGAAAGCTCCGAATGTCTCCGTCACTGATGAAAGCAATGCGGGGAATCAACACATGTTGCCCTTGTCTCTCACCTGTCATGATTGTGGCGTGGATGATATGTGGCTTGAGGGCCACAATTCGAAGCCGTGTTCCGTTGCACAGCCCTAGATCTGGATTCAGGTTCCGCATCATCATGATAGGCATTCCTACCTTGAGGGTCAACTTGTGAGGAGGCATTCCACTGATATTCATCGAGTGGAGTACCTCCTGCTCGAAGAAATTTCCGTCACCGTCATCTTGTACAGAATCGGAAGACATGTATTCCCGCGCCTGTCAAGTTAATCGATCGGTCACCGCTTCATTGATGCGATGCACGATTGCGTTCATAATCGTGAGGATCGTACGGTTAGCAAAATACTCATTGGTAGCAACCTCGGGATTGTTAATCTTGCCATACATCTCGTCGATGATCCGATCCATGCCTCTTGGAACAACGCCAGGACGAATTTCCTGGTCCTCATCCTCAGGCACAGGTGGATTCTCAATCAGCATATCGCGCGGGATCTTCATGTAATCTCTTCCTAGGGAAGGAGTTGCATCATGCCTTCCCTCCCCGACTTGCAGCAGGAACTCGGAGAATGCAGCCATTTCCTCAGCCGTGTCTGCAGTATCAGCTGTGCGCACTTGCATGTTTTCCGTAAGACGGAACGTCTGGATTTGGGGCCACAGCCTAGACGACTTGAGGCAAGCGTCAATTGTCTCGACGGGTGTTCCATTCTTGACGACCGGGAGAATCTGGCGGAAATCTCCCGAAAGTACAAACACTTTCCCCCCAAAAGGCTCGGTATCGTTGTCAAGTATGTCCCGCAGTGTTCTGTCTACTGCCTCGAATGCGTGGCGATGGGCCATCGGTGCTTCGTCCCAAATAATTAAACTTGCATGCTTGATCAACTCCTGAATATGGGAGTTCTTCCTGATACCGCACGTCGATCTCTCGTTCAATTTCAAAGGGATCTTGAATGTAGAATGAGCTGTCCTACCACCCATGAGCAAGAGCGAGGCAATACCGCTAGATGCCACAGCGATGGCGATTTTCCCCGAGAGTCTGACTTTGGCCAGTATTTCGAAGCAGTGTAGATTTTCCAGTACCACCCGGGCCATCGACAAAAAATAACTTCTTGCCTTTCTCTGAACATTCAACCGCTTCAATAATCTGGTCGTAAACCACCCGCTGACTTTCGTTTAGCTGATCTTCTGTGCTTACAATCGCCTCCAAAGCTGACGCATCGTATCCAGTGAGCTCACGTCGTAGTAATCCGTTCTGGCGAAGCGCCTCACGAATCAATGTTGGGAACGACCCCAACTGAGGAAGCTCGTCGAAGTCAGCTACCGCATACCCACTCGCTTGAAGTAGTTCTTGAATGCTCATCAGCGTTTCAAATTCGACCAACGCCGACTTAAAGGGGTCCATCAAAGCCTGATGTTTGCGTGCGAAGTCTTGGGAAAGTTCCGCGAAGAACCGATCCCATAGAGTACCAACATTTGCTGGAGCTGAATACACCAGAATGGTGACGAAGAGCTGACGTAGTTGATACGGCGTTTGGAACTCAGCGGATTGCCTCCAGCACGAAACCCACTCGTTATCATTCTCCAAGTAGGCAGCCTCCCGCGCCGCAATTTAAGATGTGGGGCAGACAATCCCGTTAACCCATTCTCAAGTCTTCAAACGACGTTGGGCCTCTACGCTGACAGAGCAGTAGCCGAAGATAGAAGCGCTCCATATCGCGAGGGGACACGTGAATCATGCGACCAACGGCAGCTTGATACTGTTTCCTGCGGACCCACCTTTTCGGTTGACCTTTCTCCGCCGCTTTCGAGCCGAACGCTTTAGGGATGTCCTGATACGGCATCGTTCTGGCAAGATGATTCTCGGGCACTTCGTTCGCACACAACTCAAAGAATCTGATCAGCATCGTGTGACTACCACGTTCCAAAACCGCCTCCGGGTTTTCCGTCTCGCGAAAGCAAATCGTCTGGCCTGACTCGAGATGAACCGTTAGCTGAGTAGCCGCATGGGTTTTTCCCTGAATCGTGAAATCGAGCAGGCGCATGCAAGCTTCCACCGGAGAAATGTACCGGGCGCTCAAGAAACGTAGAATCTCATTTGGTTCTCGACGCGCACTCTGCTGCCCTCCTCGGACTTCTTCCACAGTGAGTATAGCCATGTCGGGTCATATGTACACATACTTGTACAGGTATTTAACCGCAGTAATATCCGTGCACACTTCCACATTGATGTGGCAGTTGTACTTCTGGGATAAGTACGGGTTGTACGGTACAACCCACTGGTTGATCGTCGCATTCTCGTAATCTCTGCCTTTGAACTTTAGA